CAGATTTATCATCAGGTGGCCCAGTAATTTGGAACATTTCCACATCTAAAAAACAAAACTGTCACGATGGTAAACCCCTCCTCTTAAGGATGCTCCAGCCCTTCCTTGTTTTACCTGATCTCCTCCACCTGCCTCCGGTTCCTGCCCCCAGTCCTATAAGAGCCCGACGTTCCTGCCAATCTGGGCTCAGCTTTGGAAGATGGACGTCCAGAAGCCCGCCTACCAGCGAGTCCAGGAGTGACTCGACGGCACAGGTTTCACAATGGTTACCAGGCCATCTGGGTCCGGGGCTGGGAGCGCCCGGCCCCGTTACCTTCTTTTATTCACCCAACCCTTCGCCGAATCCCGTTCCGGCTTTTAACTTCGTTTGTCTTTGTCAAGGATGGACCACCCGGCTCTGGACATTTGCCTCCCCACGGATTTCCCTACGAACACCCTTCGGACTTGTTTGCCTGGACAACACCCCCTGAACACCTTCGTCATGCCCCCCTGTTAGTTTACCAACCCAGTTCCTTCTCCTCCCCGTGTCTGTTCACTCCCTTCTGGATTGTGCTGTCTGCATAGGGTCCTGAAAGATGCTGCGTGACAAACATGATCCATTTGAATGGGTGGTGTTTTTGATCACACACTTTGAAAAGTGTGGTGAGGGCTATAACCTAAGTCAAGCTTGAGAGGAAATCACTGCCCAACATTTCTTTCTTACCACAGAAAACTATATACAACACCATGCACACCAAAAAACACATGCAGCGATAAATCTGCATCTTTCAAATAAAATTGCTTTAGTATTCTATTCTGAATTTTACAGATACAACACATCTACAGAATGGATAAATGTGCTGTAATATTTGTTGTTGTGTTTTAGCTTATATATAGCACTGTGTGCCAACAAAACCCAATGTTGTGAATCACATCAGCCAAATCAGTACTGGAATACCCGTTACACTCTTATCTACAATTTAATCATGCACTAGCATTATAGGTCAAAATAAATTTAAGTGACTCCGCTTTTAGAAATGGGTTATCTTGGCTTGTTATTTGCAGCTCTGCCCTCTCTTTTTTGTCAGCAGTGAGGTTGCACCACACAGAAAATACATTAGCACTTTGTCTCAGAATATCTATCAAAATAATGGATTACGTGGACCACTGATGTAAAAAGAAGCTAATTTCCTATTAAAACCTTAGACATGTATTGATCACCCCTTTTTTAGGAGTTCAAATCTCTTATCTTGTACCTGGAAGATTAATCTGAAATGTTTCATATATATTACATTGCCTTGGGCTTGTATACAAATGTCACTTAGCCTTAACTGTTATTTTTTAGACTTCTTTTCTAGACCAACTATCTGTCACATATAATGGAAAAAGGAATAAGTAAAGGTTAATTCCATGCTGATAAATAGTAAAGGAGAAGGCACTGTACCTTTCAGACATAAATTCCATTTTAAGAGGCCCTACTATTTATTTAATTCATGAAAGAACATGAGAAAAATTAAAAACAAAAGAAGGCCATTTGGCCTGTTGGGCAGTTGGTAGTTCCATACTCCCACAACCTTTAGGTTAAAGATAGGCGTCCTCTTGCCCCTGCAACACATGTATATTATTTCACTAATGGTTTGTGCTACCAGCTAAAGACTTTTGGGCTGATGGTTGCCAGGTCACCTGTTCATGATCCCTGCCTTAAAGGATCTCAAGGAGTCAGATCCAACCCTGTCAGCTTGGATAGTTAATTTCAGTCTCCCAGAATTCCTCCATTTAAATGACTCCTGTCTTGGTCTTGAACATGAATTCCACTTGTATCATGAGTTTTTGTGTTGTTGTTGATCTTGGCCATCGCCTTACAATTCATTGGCTCAAATAAAAAGTTTTCTGGACTGTTGCCTTCTCTAAATATATTTCTATATTTTAAAGCTTTAAAGAATGGGTTCAACGCTGGACTACAATTTTCAAAGTATCTCTTTTCTACTGATTCCCAGAGAAGCATTTTCTTTGTTTGCAAAGAAGTATAAGAATCTCTGTTTATTTTTCTCTCAGATTATAGGCAGGGAGGTTTAGCAAATACTGGGAAACACGAATTAATTTTATTACCCCAATGAGACTTGATTTCAGTTTATGAGGGAATATACAGTTATATTTCTGTGTGGGCTATTTTGTTGTTTGTTGTGTTTCTCATGAAACAATTGTATTCTCTTGTATTACCCCCCATATCTTCTGGCATAATGTAAATAGTTTATTTTATATGTATGTATAAAAATAATGTAACAAAATGAAAGATGAAGTAAAATGTTGAATGCATTCTGTTTGTAAATCTTTTCATCGCTAAATATAAAGTTAAAAAAAGAATGTCTGTTTATTCAAATGTGTTGAAATCATAAAGTGTTCCTAATTAAAACAAAAATAACATAAATGCTTCTCTTTATAGTTTCACTACTTAATTTTGCCCATTTTGCTTCTGAAGAAATGGCTGAATCAAGTGAATGACCATTTCCAGGAAAAAAAACCTGGAAATGTCCAGGGAAGCCAATATAAATTGAAGACACCTGGGATATAGGCAGATGTTGCCGTCCTAAGGAACATGAGGTAACCTGGAGTGCCAGGTAGAAAACAAATGATAAAATTGAAATAGTGACTCAAATCAAATTCAGATTATTCTGAAACTGTCTCAAGAATCTGCGGAGGACTGATGTCCCATCCAGCGTGCCTTATGCCTAGCTCTTGCTGGGATAGGAGCCATGGATAGATGACCATTTGGAATTTGGGATTTTGTAGTCCACTATGCCACCTAGCAATTTTATGGGTGCTAGGAACCCTGCAACAGGTTCATTATATCTCTCAGAATCACCACAGCACCCACAGACCAGCAATAGACATTAGTATTGCTTAAGTGCCCTTTTTATCTTCTAATAATTGCAGCTCTCGGGGCTACCAAAAATATCTCCAAGGGGCATGCTTGACCCAAGAGGGTTAATAGCCCATCAAGGTAGAAAGAAAATGGAACTTGAAAGTCTTTATTATGCCATACTGTACAAAACAAGTATATCTATATTGACAAAAAGAAACCAGCAGTCCTTTACGGCTGGCCAGTCCCACTCAGTGGGGGTTTGCTATTGCCTCAGTCAGGGGCAGGTGCGTCAAATTGATTACAGGAGGAAGCTTGGTGATACAATATGGGTTGTTTGAGAACTGACAGGATCCAGATTTCCAGGTGTCGTGAAACTCTGTCACTCTTTTGTTTCCTTTCTGCTCCCCCACTCCCCAATGTCTTGGCCAGACTAGTTCAGCATCACCACACACCTCCAAGTGCCGATCCTTAAATTGTGGAAACTGAGCAAACATTGTGTTTTTCCATCCTAGTTAACTGCATCCTGCTCCATTTGTCTGTGTTTGAGGTTTTTGATTAGGGAGAGCCAATAGCCACCCAGGAGAAAGACAGACACTACTACAGTATATTGACAAAATCACCTGTTTATACTCTGTGACATCAGCTCAAGCTCCCTCATAAGCCTGTATTGGATAAAGAGGTTAGAAAATAGGTGTAAATATAGGTGTATCGAGAATGCATAGCCTAACCGGAAATCATTTTTGAAACAAATGTATGGGTTCACTATCATGTGATCATTTTGAACAATTCTATTATCTAATAATATATTAGTGGACAATTTATATTTTTGGTTCCACTTGGAGACTCACAAAAGAGGCCAGAAATGGACATTTGCAGTGTAATCTGTATGAATCACAGCAGCAGAATCCTCCATAGCACGCCTGCAGTCAAGAAATCAAGGACAAAGTCATCAAGAAAGGAGACTCTGGAAGGCGTATTCTCTCTTTCTTTGGACTGCCTCATTTCTTCTGGATTAGCTGTCAGGCACATAGAAACATCTCCACTTGGACTACATAAATATAACCTTTCAGAACCAGGAATTTAAATATGTTAGGTAATATTAAATATTAAATATTAGGTAAAAACATTTAACTAAAATTAGGTAACATATACCTAAAAACAAAATCCACAATGACATGGAGGGGCATACAAAATAAGCTTTTAAGATGTCTATTGCAGTGCATTCCAGTGGGACTTACAACAGTTACAGGAAAAACTTTGTAAGGATACACAAACCCAGACAATCAGCAAGCATTGGGCCAATGTTAGGGCAACATCAGTTGGTTTGTCGGGCAAGTGTAATTTTGCTCTTCACTCAACACTGACTCAACACTATGGCCAAATGTAGAATGCCACTATCAGGCCAGCACTGAATTTCATGTGTTTATATATTAGGGACACAAACCATCGCTTCACATCTTGAATGTATATTCACTGCATTATTGTCCTGAACTTCTTTTGAGTCACCCTCTATAATTCTTTGCTCCTAAAGACACTCATCTCAACATCGACATGAAAATAAACATGTCATAGAGTCAGATCTACTGTCATGTTCGTTAAAAAGTTGGAGGAGGTCAAAAGTAATACAGGAGTCGTTCATAATGAACAGTATTGTTACTCTCAACACAACAGTGCTGACTTGTATTTAAGTTGTATGTCATATAACTTTATTGTTGCTGCTGCTGATCTGTGTTTATACTTTGGTGTTTCCTTAATGTCTTTGTATACATCCAAATAACTCAACTGCACTTGTGCACATGACAAAAAAAACTGAACTGATTTTTTAACAACTAAAAATCCCACATTAATCATTATTATTTAAAAACATAATCGCGTTGAGTGTTAAATTCTCTTAATTTTTTTCCTCAGCTGAGGTTTTCTGTCAAGTTTGTTATGAATTCGATTTCACAGGTTCCCGTCCATTTTTTTGGAAAGCTCTAAGTCTTTCGGTTCACTTTTCAAGATAAAAAGGTGAAAGTGGGGAGGAGGGGGAGCTCGGAACATACATGCACCAACCTGAAAGAGCTTCCCTACTCCAGTCATCCTGCATCAAATGCAAACAACACAGGAAGCGAGTCTTGGATTTTCGATAAGTGGCAGTCGTGTCCACCACTCACCGGGACGATTGCCTCCCTGCTCGGGCTTTGGTCCCTCCTCCATTCAAAAGCGCTCAACTCTGACCTTTCAGCGAAAGCGCCTGAAGCAGCAGTAGCAGCAGTTTCACATTTCTGCCTCCTCCGCCTCCCTCTGCAGAGACAAGTGACTCGGATCTCCATTCAAACACATCTTAACGCCGAGGGATGAGACTCCGCTCAAAATACAGGCGACACAACTGCTGAACTTGGTGCAACGATCCCGTCCATGAAGAGGGATTGCGAATATTAAAGACAGTTTCAACCCAAAAAGAGAAAAAAAGATAATAGTACTGACCGCAAAAAACACTGTCAAGTGCTAACAGCCACTCCACTACAGACTGCAAACATGGCGAGCGCCTCCTACCATATCTCTAATCTGCTGGAGAAAATGACATCTAGCGACAAGGATTTCAGGTACAAACCTTGTTTTTTACTTAATAAGTATCCTAAAGTTGATTTGTGGCATGGTTGTTTTGTTTACTTCTTCATAAGTTTTAAATCGCTTTTGAAAAAGCGACTGGCGCTCGCAGCTTTACATAAAAGATTTGAAGCCTGAAGAAGTAGGCCTCAATTCCCTTATGCTTCTCTGTTTTGACGTAAAACATCTTGCACTGACATCGATGAAGCAAAGTTTTGATTATTTTGCGCATTTATTGTATGTTATCTCTAAGGATGCGTTTGCATTCATGTTATTTTTATTTTTCGGGATGAAAACCCTTTATTGAAGACATGATGACCACGGTTGAAGTGTAAACATCAGAGACTAAACATAAATGCTTTGACGTGGGGTACGTCTGTCAAGTTCTATCGACTAGCATTCATAATGTAAATATATGCCTCCTTTTATAGTTATTTGCGACTTAAAAATAGTGAATTATTACTATTGTATATTTCTGAAGCCAAACAGGGTAGGTGATCGGTGTTGCAATTTACGTTTAAACTGTGCCAAAAAACTACCAGAAAATCATTTTCTGGTACACACCTCGTCATGTGTTCAGAAACCTCTCAGTGCTCGGTGTAGGTAAGTGATTAATGTATTAAAGGTCTTCAAGATTTTTTAACAAAAATAATCTGTAACGGACGAGTTGATGAAAAGGCGAGTACATTTATGAAACTCCAGTTAATGTTTTTAATTAGTTACGAGATGTTTTGTATTGCGACTTTTGTATTGTGGAGGAACATTAGAGAGAGAGCTAACTTGTCAAATGCACTTAAACAGTAAGACTTCTTTATGTCCGTTTTCTCTTATATATTATGCTACTGCTATGGAAGAAGTCAAATAAGAAAGCTTGCTTTAGCCTTCAGTGGAGAAGTAATCACCTTTGGCACCTGTATTCTTTATTATTGCTTAATAAAGTAATTTGCAGCACCTGGGTTATATTTACTCTGCTGTCCAGATAAATTTTAAATCCCTGTCTTAAAGTCCAGTGTGGAAAACCAGCTAATTAACAAGGAAGATGTATTAAGTAATGCAAGTTATGTCGTCGCAATTTAAGGTTCCATTAGGCAGCTTTGTCATAATCCAGTTTTGCAGTCCTTGGTACTCTCGAATTGGGCAAGCAGGTTATGTTTATCTAGTCCTCTTTTTGGATTTGCATTTATACCTCTCCAGTTATTGAAGACTGACTTTGGGTTAGGGTTGGAGCAGATGTGAACAGATTCTGGCAGTAAGAGAACTTGAAGCAGCTCTGGGTTCTCATGGTGTCGTGTGGACACTGTTAAGTCCAGTAAGTGACTGAGAAAAGTAGTGTATAGGTGCCTTACAGGACTGCATGGCAGCACCATTATCATTAGTACATTTAACTGCAGTAGGAATTTAGAAATGGTGTCTTTTCATTTGACACTTTTTAAATAGTCTTGATTAAGATTATTTAGGTCGTAACCTGTTGTGCTAAAAAAGTGCTGTCATCTCTGATTAGCCTGAGGAAAACTCGTAATTTATGCTTAGAGCAGTATTTCAAGTATTTGCTTGTGCTTATGCAAAATGACTTGTACTAAAATACAGGGATCAAGGTTTGTTTTGCACCAGTGAGTGTAAAAATGTTCTGTTAAAAATCTTTATGGTGGGATGGTGAGGCTGAGCAGAACAGAGCAGACTTCCCTTTCCCCAGCAGCAGGTCTCCAGCTCCTCCTGAGGGACTCCCAGGTGTTCCCAGGCAAGCTGAGAGATATAATTCCTCCAGCCTGATGTGGGTCTGCCCCCAGTGGCAGTGCCCAGTCCAACTCGAGCAGCCGGTGCCTGGGGGGCATCTTCAGCAGATGCCTGAACTACGTTATCCGGAATAGCAGCGACTCTACTCCAAAGTCCTCCTGGATGACCTAGCTCCTCACCCTGTCACAGAGAGTAAGCCCAGCAGCCCTGCAGAGGAACTTAATTCTCACCACTGGTACACATGAATCTCATTCCTTCAGTCACTCTCTATAGCTTGTGACTACAGGTGCGGAGGGGACGAAGATCAACCAGGACACCTAGAACTTTGTCCGAAAACTACAGTTCAGTACAGCGTCCGCATTACTGCGGCCACTGGTCAATCTTGTGATCCCCTCAACCCTCACTCATCCCCTGAATGCCTGCACTTGGGGCACCTGTCCCTTCCCCCTCACCTGGAGAGAGCTAGCCAAGGGGGGTTACCAAGCTGTGGCACAACGAACAAAACCTGCCACGTTTGTGGAGTATAATGCTTTTGCCCTTTCTTCTCTGAAGTGTAGTACTCTGTAGTATTAGTTCAGGTGGGTAGCTGCGTCAGCATGCGTAGGCTGCAAAGGAACAAGTAATAGGTTTATTCCATGCTGAAAAAAAGAAGAAAGAGAACACAACGTTTCGGCTCCACGGCCGAAACGTTGTGTTCTCTTTCATCTTTTTTTCAGCATGGAATAAACCTATTACTTGTTACTCTGTAGTATGTTGTGCGAAAGTTGTTGGATTCTGCCAGTTTTGCAGTATTTTCCTAAAGCAATGTTTCATGGGCTTATCTGACATTATGTTCACTCTCAGTTGTTTTAAGCTTTCCTGTGGTGGTCTTCTGTTGTATTAAAAGGATAATATGGGAACAGTCACACATGAGAGGAGGCACTTGTCCATCTACCCCATTCGTTAGGTCATTTCCAAAAAAGGTCACTTTAGAGTTTTTTTTTTTCCTACTGATGTGCAGGTTAAACATTTTCCTGCTAGTTTGTTTGAGTATTTCTGGGGATGAAAAAATTCAGTTTTTGTAGTGTGTGTGAGGTGTGTTGGACGTGCATCACTTGCACAGACCACATCTGGGGAAAGGGAGTGACTGCTGCCATCTTTGTGCTCCTCTTGTCTTCTTCTTCCATCTGAGCTGCATCAGGAGCACTCTTCCGAAGTTTTTCCACAGAAGGTGCCAGTTTGGCCTCCTGCCAGCGCTTAATGCTGTATTCATTCGAAGTCCGCTTTTGGTACTTTTAATGTACTTTTGTAACCAATGCAGGTATCTGATAAACATATTAATAAGCCGTGCTGTACTTCCAGAACCAGTTTTTCTTTGGAACAGGGTGCCTATCCTCTTCAGGGAAAGAGTTTCATGCAGATACCTGTAAAAGTAACGTACGACACAGGGTGTTCTAAGAATCCCTCTTACCATAGATAAGATGGGCATGATCGAGGAATGATCCTGTATTTGTTTGTCTCATTGTAACTCTTCCTTCCCCAGAGTCATCTGGTGGGGCGTCACACCATTTTTTCCAGTCTTGTTTGATAGGCATGATGAGCTACAAAAGGTGTTTTGTTTTGTCATGGAATATCTTTTCTACACAGACTCTTCTTCCCCTTAGATCAGCAGAAAAAATATCAATTTAAAATTTATATATGATATCCATTCTTAAGCTCTGTGGGATATTGCTTACGGCAGTGTCAGAAGTTCCTACTAGCTATAGACCTTTTTATCAGTTGTTTTTTTCAGAGCTGTATTGGCTGTAAAAACACAATTTTATCCACCTTTCTGTGCATTTAATCTTATTACCTGCCATGTGGATTAAACCCTGACATTGGATGAACATGGTTATGAGTCTGCAGCTGTTTTATGGAACTTTTCCATAGTTTCCTTAGTTATTAGGCCTCGTAAACAGAAGTGAGATGGTGAGAATAAAGATTGAACCAACACTTTCACTCCTCTTTCTTTGTAATTTTGTTTTACTGGATAATTTCCAAAGTTATTAATGATTGTTCCAAATGATTCCTTAATCCAGTTATCTCTACATGAATGTTTTCAATACATAAAGTTATTAGACTGTAATTTGGAAAATGTTTTTTTTGCAAAGGTATAAGTATCTACATTCAGGATGTATTTACTCAACAGTGTTTATACCCGTTTTTCTCAGAATTGGTCTCATAAGTACTTCTGAATGTGGTTCAAGTGAGTCTTTTAATACTATATTTAAGAGATTTTTTTTCCTTTGTCAAATGAGTCCAGAAAAAGTGACAGTCAAGAACTTTTCATGCCTCCTATCTATAGTAGCTTTGTTTTATTGCAGTTTGTGTATGGCAAAAAAAAAATCTATTTTTTATTTTTCAAGTGTACCTGGATACTATACATTCTCTTTAAAATTGTTAGTAAATTATCTTTGTTTTAAAAAAAGAAAGAGCCGGGAGGGGAGTCTGTCTAAATTACCCCATTCTGCCCCGTTTTCGGTTGAAGGGTCTGTAGCTGCGAGATATGAAGTATGCACACTGAGCAATTACAATGACCAAAAATATTAGGGATTCTAATTTCTTTTAACAAGGTTCACAAGTTTCACAGGGTAACAGCAGAAGTTAATACCAAATAGTCTTTGAAATACTTTTTACAATTAATTTCTTCCATGAATTTTAACTGTATTCTCCAGCATCTGATCTTTTCCCTATATTGTCAATTTTATTACTGTGTCAGACACATTCTTGGTAGAAATTAAATCATTAAGAGTGAAAAATGACATTAAGTGTGCACTCTTCTTTTTTTTTAAGACCTTTTACAAATATTAACAATTATATGTAGGGGGTGGCCAGGTGGTGCAGTGGTTAGCGTCACTGCCTCACAGAGCTGGGATCCGGGGTTCAATTCCTGCGGTGCTCTCGATGTGGAGTTTGTATGTTTTTCAAGGTTTTCCTCATGGGTTGCTCCAGTTTCCTCACAAAGTCCAAAAACACACTGGTAGGTTAATTAGCTTCCGAGAAATGTGACATTAGTTGTGTGTGTTTGTCTTTGTCTACCCTGCGATGGACTGGTGTCCCGTTGGTTGCTAGGACAGACTCCAGCTCCCCCGCTTAATTGGAAGTAAAGTGGTTAGAAAATAGATGGGTGGATATAAATATAGACTCTAGAGTTGTCCCTAAAAATGGATAAATGGTCTCATCTTTCTCATAGTTCTGTCAAACCATTTTTCACAGCTTAGGGTATCTTGTTCTTTTTTCTCCCCATTCAAATTGTGAAGATTTTGATGAAAAAGGCTTAGGCTAAGCTGCAGTGCAGTCTACGGAGATGGCACTTCTGTAGGGCCTTTCATTGTACTCTGCTGCCAGCTGAAGTTGTCTGATGGTGGTGCTGTAGCGGAATTCCCAGAGTTTGCAGATTCACATGTGATTACTGTAGTACATGGCCTTAGAACATGGTACCCCTTTTACTTGAAACCATTTTGTGAAATCTAGGTGCCGTGTGAGCTTCAAACGAAATAGTTTGTGAAGATAGGTAATGTCCTTTATGATAAACTCTTATGTTTTATAGTATCTGTTTCTGCTCTGTCATGTAGCGCTAGTCTTTCAGTAAAAAAAAAAGTAAAACTGTCCTAATGTCTTTTGATGATCAGCTTGCCTATATGCTGGGTGACTGCTGGAGCTACGGACTGTGACAAGCGTCGGTCTGGAAAGCCCTGAACGCTTTGCGCAAACATGATTGGTGAGCAGAAGCAAAGCCTTGATTCCTTCTGCTCCCTCTTTTCACTCTAGGTTCATGGCCACCAATGACCTGATGTCGGAGTTGCAGAAGGACTCCATCAAGCTGGATGACGACAGCGAGCGCAAGGTGGTGAAGATGATCCTCAAGCTCCTGGAAGATAAGAATGGAGAGGTGCAAAACCTTGCTGTCAAATGGTAAACCTTTACCTTTTTTTTAAGAAGCAGGGAGGTATGGAATGACTTCTGCACAGGGAGTGCTCAACCAGAAACCCCCCTTATGTGATGGTGGCTCTTTCTTTGTAGAGCAGGGTCCAAAAAATGCTTGTAACCTCCAGGTCTTGATCTTTTGTTTTTCAGTTTAGTTCCCCTTGATTTCAGTGCACTTGGCCCTCTTCTTCCTCACACTGTAACCTGAAGGTGAGCCTTCAGATTTCAAACCCGCTGTCATCCACTTGGTGCTTTGTCTGGGCGGTAGGGTGGGGGATTCAGCTGTTCAATGTCCCTGCACAGGCTGGCGACTTCAGCAACATGGTTCTTTTACACAGATCACTGTCCTGAAGCCGCCACATCCCCATGACGGGCATCAGCTCTTCTTTGTCGAATTGGCCGAGTTGCTCCCCTGTAATACTAGTTGTGCATGACATTGTCAGAAATCAGGACTCCCTTGGAGCGCTGGGAACTTATTGCAGTGACTTTGCCCGCTGGTGCTCGTGTGCGGAACACCCTGGGCGCGCACTGCATGGACTGTTCTTGGGTCTCCAGTTCCCAGTGGTGAATCCCAGTTTTGTCCCAGGCACGTGTGAAAGTTAAGAATACTGCACTTTTAGTTAAGATTTCTAAGACCCATTATTTTACTTTTCATCTGCACCAAAATTGAGTGCTGGTCTTTCGGGGGCCCTGGTTTTCTTGTGAATGATCATAGAAATTCAATTCCACCTGCAATTGCTGCTGCAAATTTCTCCACCTGATGATCTGCTGTAATTATGCTTTTGCCGCTTATGATATAAGCAGGACATCTGTAGCGGTCAATTTCAAGGGACTTCATGCTTGATCTTGCCTAACCACTTAACAACACTTGAGAGTTCAGCATAAAACTGCAAAGGATTCGGTCATCAAAGAACCATGAGCTGCACTGCCTTAACGAATTTAAGTACCTTGTGCTATGAACCTAATGACATGCTTGAATCTTTTTTTTTCTTGCCCACCGAGAATGTACTTGAAAGTGCATACGCATTGCTTTAGCAGACTGGAACCAAATTAAAAGAAAAAACGAATAATCAGGTTTTGGTTCGGTAAATCTCTGCTGTGCTGGTACAGTTTACACACGGAACTGCACGCACTGTTCAGACAATTATCGACAGTTTCATTCAGTCACATCTGTTTTCATTAAATAAACGCAGAGCTTTTATTACTTTTTCTTCCATCATCTATAAGTATTTGAAGCTCTTGCCTTTTTCAATCAGCTATTTTTTGCTCTGATTGAATAGAAAAGCCAATTTTCAGAAAAACAAAATGAAGTTTCTGGGTCGTAAATACTAGCTTTAATCAGGGTTACAGATATGTATTTGCCTTTGTGCGTTTTCATCGCAGTGCAGTTTCTGCCATACAGAGGGTTTTTGCTTTGTCAGCAAAACCGGATGACTTGCCCAATACAAACTTCTGTCTGGACTGTATGTGGCATCATCACTGCTTACTTAAAAATGCACGACTGGTTGAACGCATTAAACATTATCTGAGAAAAGGTGCTGGAAAAGATAGAGCCACATTGGAATTCAACTTTATAGAACACTCAGATACGCAATTATGATTTTTTGATTGTCATTTATGTATCAGGATGCTGATCTTAACTTGGTTAGGCAAACATTGTGTTGGTGTAGCCAGTGTTCCACTTCTCCTAATGTAAGGGAGCACTCTGCGCCTGAAACTAGAATAACAAAGTATGATATAGATATTTGAATTGTGTAAATAAAATGAAACCAACAAGGAATTTGCTGAACTATAACCGGATCTGTCAGTTTTATTTTTGGATCATCCCAGGAACAGCTCTAGTCACTAGATCAGGAGACTCACCAATGCGTTTTGAGCTAATTTGGTATTGATCTAATTATTAATCTAATTTGGTTCTATTTGTTTGTAGTTCCAATGCCAGTTCTGGCTATTCTTCCATAAAATCCTGCAACTTGCAAAATTTCAAACGGATGGTCCCCCATTCCATAATTGAATCCAGGGCCCAGGAGTTGTGATGCAACAGAGCTAACGATCATGCCATCCTGCCCCCCTAGTGTTCAAAAGTATGTGTCAAATGAAAATGTTCCCATTCTTTGGCTCATCCATCTTGTGTCTACTTCATAAAAGCATCTGTATAGTTATGCTAAACACATCACACTTCATACCTTTAATTAACGTTGCCCTGCTGTTTAGTGTGGTTATCATTGTTACCCCCTTGCCTGAAGTTCAACTGGGGGCTTTCTGTGTCATTATTCTGAAGCAGCAAAAGCAAATAAATATCGGAGTGTTTCTCGCAAGTTTTAATTACCTTTCTGCAGTCTGCTCTGGAGGTGTCATAGGAGGCTGCTCTTGTAAAAGTAATGCTTGTGATGCACAGTGCTCTAAATAATGCCACCAGCAGCTGCTCTCTAGAGAATTAAATAGAATAAATGGAATTGAAAAGATTTCATGTGGTGCATGGGCTGTACGACTTTTTACTGTAAATGTCTTAAAGTGACATTTTACAAGACCAAGGTAAACTGACTGGTACTGATGAGTTATTTGCTGTTTTTTGGTGTGACTGTTTTTGGTCAGTAAGTGCTTTCTATCACTTTTTTTCTGTCTGTTCAGTTTTGCAGCTGCAGGCATTTAAAAAGATAACCCCCCCCCCCTTTCCATTATTTCATTTTTCAAGCTCAAGAACATTATAATTGTGCAATTCATTGCATATTATTGTTCAGTTCAGTTCATTCAGCATGTTAGGATTTTCACAGACAAAGCCATTATGAAGAAACTAAAGCAACTTACACAGAAGATGTAAGCTGTATTTGAGCTTCCCATCCATACAGCAAAAAAAATGTTTTTCAGGTCTGGAAGTCATTTAGCAACGGGCATTTGTGTCTCATTTTCTATAGATGAAGTCAGAAGCCTTGTTTTGGGGATTAGGGTTCTCGGTATATGCACTCAAGTGCCAGTGCTACATCTGCCCATGTTCCCAGCACTAAAATTCAAACCACAGAAAATGACCTGCAGCATGCACGTGTGTCCATGAAGAACATGGTGTATAACACGTTCCTTTGCCTTTTCAGTTTGGGACCTCTTGTCAGCAAAGTGAAGGAGTACCAAGTGGAAACTATTGTAGACACTCTGTGTACAAATATGCTGTCGGATAAAGAGCAGCTTCGTGATATTTCCAGCATTGGATTGAAAACCGTGATTGGAGAACTTCCTCCCGCTTCTAGTGGTAAGAGTATTTATTATTTTAGTAAGGCATAAAGTGGTTTATTGGGGCTTTGGTCGGAAGCACTATGGTAATTCAAGTTCAGACCACCCTATACAAGAACATTTTCTGGGTGATTTATAACCAGTTTTGTCTTTGAAGTAAATTTGCATGCTTTTGTCAATACCAGTTTTATTAATGACGTTAGCCAGTAAATCTGTTGTAGTCCAGTATAGATCTTTGCATTGATTGATTTAAATAGTTTGTATTGCTAACCTGTTTCTATTCTGATGACATACACACGTTACAGTAATCTAATATACAATTAGATGATATATATATATAACAGCAGCCACACCTCAAAGAGTGGACCAGAAGCAGGTGGCCTGACAGCGCCTACTTCAGAGAATGTAGGCGTGTCAATGTAATGCCAGTAGGAGCTTTTGTAAGGCTGATCTGGCAATTTTCTGACTGGGAGAAGAACAGAAGTTGATTCTAACTGATTAAGTGTCAAAACGGGAAGTAAGAGCCAGACATTTCATTTAATTTGTACACCATGGCTTTGGGGACTGCAATTGGAGCTGTAGGATTTTGATGACCAAGAACAGGTGGAATGTCTTTACCAAAAGAGTTGTGGAAGTGTGGAACAATCTATCCAGCCATGATTCTGAGGTTGATACCACTCTTTTAAGAAACAGTTGAATTAGGTCTTTGGATTATTTAGCTACAATCTGCCCAATGGGCTTGGTAGGCAGAATGGCCTCATTGAATGTTTAACCTTTCTTATGTTCTTATGCAAATCTCTTCTCACAGACTCTTAAATACAAAAAACCAACACTGGCACCAGGTGCTAGCTAGCTAGCATAACCTTCTACCCTGGCCGCCACTTTATTATGGCCTCTAAATGTTTATCTGATGTTCCAGAATTAAGAACCCCAATGCATTGTGAATTTGAAAATTGCTGGTTCACTCTTGTGTGTTTTGAGGTGAAGCATTTTTTAATAAGACATTTTTTCCCAATTAGAATCCATTTTATTGATCCATTTTAATGAAATGAAGCAGGGAGCCAGTGGGGAGCTTTCCCACGTATTGATCCAGAGGCAAATAGTGCATTGTTTAAGTCACTGTCTTTTCATTTGCTTTTTTTTCAGGCTCTGCTTTAGCTGCTAGTGTTTGTAAAAAAATTACAGGACGTCTCACAAGTGCCATAGCCAAGCAAGAAGATGTTTCTGTTCAGTTAGAGGCCTTAGACATCATGGCAGATATGCTATGCAGGTGAGGAGGCATTTTTAGCTGTTCTGCTTAATGGTCAGGAAAATACATTAAGTGTTTCATTAATCCTGAGTAATTGCTGTACTGTAGACTACATCATTCAGTGCAGAAACCTTTTAAATTAAGGGTAGTACATTTATTTAAAAAACAATTTGCTAAACCTTTTTGATAGCGGTTTTTAATTTTTAATGCAGATGTCACAACACATTACTCTGTACCTGTCCATTTGCAGCTGGCTTGAGTCACCATGTTACTTAGGCATGTCTTTTTGTCATTTCTTGTCTGTCTCATGTTAATTTTAGACACTCCAATAAAAGTTTCAGCTTTTAAAAAAACTGCATTGGTATCTACATCCTTGGTGTAAACATCCTACATCCTACATCCTTGGTAAAATAAAAGTTCCAAAACATACAAGGTTAAATACCTTACTATCATAACTCTTTATTTGTTGTTTTAACAGTCCGCCACTCAAAATCGTCTCAAAATGACATACATGAAACAGTTTTGTGAATAATTGAACTGTAATTTTAACTAGGAAACATTATCTAAGACCAATGTTACAACAGAAGCACAAAATACAATTTGTACACTTTCCAAGCTTTTCATAGTAAGGAATTCTGTTCACAGATGCCAGATAAATGTCTTATATGAAAAATATAATAGAGCTTAAGGTTTTCTTCTGAGCCTGGGATGTAAGTCTCATTTTTGAAGTGGGTTAACATAACCATTATATTTTTATATACCTGTGCATTCTGTATTAGTAACAAAATGCCTGGTTGGAATAAGTGTTTAGAGTAAAGTGATGGCAGAGTGACAGTCCTTCAGTGTTGATTTACAGTACTTTTAAGTGATCTAGTTGATGAACTCTCAGGTTTTTATGGACAATGTTGGTGGAATTTGTGATTGGCATTGCTTTAGCCTTTTAGCCATCTGTTACAAAACTCCTATCTGCTGTTCTGTTTTATAACTAGACAAGGGGGCCTTCTGGTAAATTTCCACCCATCCATTCTGAGCTGCCTCCTGCCACAGCTGACTAGCCCCCGGCTGGCTGTGAGGAAGAGAACCATCATTGCCCTGGGCCACCTTGTCATGAGCTGTGGGAACCTGGTGTTTGTGGACCTTATTGAGCACCTGCTCGCAGAACTGTCCAAAAACGACACGATGTCAACCACCCGGACGTACATCCAGTGCATTGCTGCAATCAGCAGGCAAGCAGGCCACAGGATTGGTAAGGAACTCTCACTGCAGCTTCCCTGTCTTTACTGGCATGGAGGGTGTTGTCAGGGCTAAGGATCTGCTTCCATTGCAAAACAAACTGGGACAGAAGTAAGCTCTTTCAGTCCCAAACTAGATCAAGATCACACTTTCTTGAAGCACCTGATTCATGACTCCAGGGTTTGGGAAGCATACACGTGTTTACAATCGCATTTAGTCTGTACTACCTTTGTCTAGGGCTGGGCGATATGGCCAAAAACATTATTACGCTAAAAATTTTCATATCAGTCGATATCGATAATTATCACGATAAATGTCAAATCATTATTTCTTTCAAGTTTAAAGGCAGAATTTTTCTCCCGAGTGAAAGTTGAAGAAACCAGACAGTTAATTGGTAAATTAAACAACTCTTTCACAATAAACACTTGCCAAACAGCAGAAACATTAAACAAATCTGAGGTAGAGAGGATTATGTCAAAATATGCATGAGTAAAATCTACAAAATAAATATCTTAATAGAAAAATTAAATACTGCAGTGTGATAAAACACACATAGAAGATGGCTCAGACAGACTGCAAAGTTTAAAGTGCTCTGTTTTATGTCTGATCGTAAAAAGCCAAAATATCTCCAAATTACCGAAGTTGAAAGGCCTTATCTGTCGACGATGTCATCGTCCTTTGAGCTGGTCGTTGGCAGCACTGCATTTGCTTCAGTGTCGCTCATTTCTCCACTCGAACTACAATCCTGTCAGCCACCACCGTGTGGGCAAACAACACAACGTTAGCTGCACTCGCACAGTATTTTGTGCGCATGCGCATATCATCCGCAAAGCATAAACATATATATCGAACATTTATCGAACTTTTGTTAAAATTATATCGAGGAAAATTATATCGCGATATTTATCGTTATCGAATTATCGCCCAGCCCTACCTTTGTCACAAATACTTGTAATATAGGAGCTCTTTATACTAGTGCTGAGAGCAGCATCTGATTTATTTTAGAGCATTTCTACATAATAAATATTCAGAATAAATATGCTGAATATTTATATTCTGAATATAATAAATATTCAGAGCATAAATACCAAACCATTGCAAATACTTTTTTTGGGGACTGTTGGAAACATTGTGTTTTAAGAAACTTGCTTCCTGTTAGCATTGTGATTACATTGAGCAAATAGTTTTAATGATCTTTCCTTAAATAGTTTGTCAGGGGCTGAGAAAGCAGTGTCTGCACAGCTCTCTAATTTAGTACTTCCATGCTTTAGCGGGAGAGCTGAATGGTTTTGTTAGGAATTTAATCAAGTGAGTGCTTGGTCAGATTGTTCTTGATCAAGATTATTTTGCTGCCTTGCAGTTTTTTGATAAAGTAATTAAGGTTTCCTTTGATAAAACAAAGACTGCAACTATCAAGATATAAGATTGCTTAGTGCAAACATTTATACCCCTTTCAGAGTTACCTTCTTCAGGATTTTCAGTCATCATAAAATGAGTAAATTTAGGATTTATTTAAACCAGCAAAATGAATCGCCTTTTCAAAATCCCCTCTTCATGACTCGGTAGGTAGTCCACTTTCTTTTTTGAAGGAGCTTGGGGGAAAAAAAGTGCTTTTGAATCTTCTTACTCCTGTTGGATACCTCATTTTTTAATACAAGAATCTGAGATGGCCATTGCTTGCATGCTAATAATGTATTTTATTTGTTAGAATCTAGTAGGAAACATAACCAAAGTGTCAATTGAAAGTGAATGGTCACATAATGCGTTTAATATGGCTGCTTTGTGTCACCCATGTTGAAATGTCTCCTCTGGGAGCCTGTGGGATGAAATGGACTCTATGAATTCTGTCAAATTATCTTTTTTTTTTTCTTTCAGGTGAATATTTAGAAAAAATAATTCCCCTGGTGGTGAAGTTCTGTAATATTGACGACGACGAGTTGCGGGAATACTGCATCCAAGCCTTTGAATCCTTTGTCAGAAGGTTTGTACTTAAAAATGTCTTTGCACAGACTTTTTGATGCTGTTAACAATATAGGAATTATTTGAAGTCTAGGCGGCAGCAGAACTCATTGAGCTAAGCTGATGTCTGGGAATCCTCCAGTTGTCCAAGAACATACATTTTAATAAAATGTGAAAATGGGTACATCCTTCAAAATCTCTGCAATAGGGGTAACATTCTCTTTTCGATTCAGTCATATCCATGATGGTTAATTAGCTTGTAACGTTTGAATTGCAGGTGCCCAAAAGAAGTCTACCCACATGTTCCCACTATTATCAGCATCTGCCTGAAGTATTTAACCTACGACCCCAATTACAATTATGATGATGAAGACGAGGATGAGAATGCTATGGATGCAGATGGTGCGGATGAAGACTATCAAGGTACATAAAGGGCTTGTTAGAATTCTTCGGGTTCTGACGCTGAAACGTTCAGGGTTTCAGCTTCTTCGTGAGACTGTAATGATGGTTATCAGGCATTATTCATGAGCGGCTGAAAGTAGCTTCTTGATCCAATACTTGAAGTGAGATGGAGAAATATACAGCTCATTTGCATGTGAATCTATATGAGAAACAAAACAGGTGCAGAGTCTGTTGTGGCAGCATTCTGTTTACAGTGCACTGAAGAGTCACATCCTGGCCAAGCCAAATACGTCTTAATAGGCTTTTACTGCTTTTCAGGCACGTTGCCTCTTCCTTTCATTTTTCTTCAGCTAAAACTTAAGTGTGTTATTGCACTCAATGTGTTAGGCACAGATGCACATTTCTTACAGGCTGGAGCTGCGTTGTGCTAATGTGTATAACACGTTTGTGTGCCTTGATTTCCAGTGAATATTGGGGTCTGTTGCAAGGCAACTGCTTGTTAAAGAATCCAGTTGAAATATTTTAATATTTTCAAATAATCAGTTGACTGCAGCTAGCAATGTTAACATTCAGCTACCTGCGAGGACAATTAATTACCGGTACTGCTGCTAGAGAGATGCTTGTGAAAACAATTACGGAGTCAGTTTGACCAGTTAAGTGCTTACTAGGGACCATGATTACTTATGATTTTGTGTTCGTTTCAATATGATCAATTGATTCACTTGATCAATTGAAAGATTTTGAAACGTTTTCATGGAATGTTCTTGAATATGTATTCCAGTGCATTTACGTACAGTATGACTCCAAATGCAACTGAGGTGTATGTTTGCAGTTGGATGTAATGGGACTTAGTCCTGCTGCGGATATGCTTCCTGTGAAAAACCACCTATCCTAGTTGTGGACCCTCTTATTCAGTTTCTGCATAGGATCTGATGACGAGATTTAGAAACTGCCGAATGGCAGCTGCTACTTATTTCGGAATGAATTCCATAAATCCATAAAAGATCCTTAAATAGTTCTCTCAACCAGCTTGTGTTCTTTTTGGAGGAGTAATATCTAATATACTTTTGCAATCCACTTCATCACGTTAGCAGGAACTATCAGTGCAAATGTCTTTCGGCAAACCTTCATCTTTCCTCTGCAAACTCAGGTGCTCCATACCTCAGTCTTGATTTTGACTCATAGCAATGGTGAAAACACAGTGACCTCTAATTTACAACCACTGTCTTAAACTTTGAATATAGATTTTACTCTCAATATTCCTGTTAGTCTTTGAAAATGACCTTAAGCTGTTGCAGTGAGCAAAAGTGGATTGACGATTACTTTGCTGCCTAAAATGCTTTACATATGGAATAGGCTTCTTTGGATTCTGATATAGTAATTTGCCTGCTGTTCCTAGGAGGATGTACAGTTTGTCTTTTATGGTTGAATTGCTTCCTGAAACCATTTAGTTTGTCTCTTCATAGTCTGATTTAACAAGGATGTCCGAAATGCTTATTTGAGTTTTCATTATGGAAATGTACCTTTTTGGATTTTATTTTTCCCTTTGCACAAGCTTAATGATTTTTTTTTTTTGGGTGATCGGCACTATATCGTGAACTGAAGTTGAAGACCTGATAACTTAGGATTTTAAAGTGGGTTTTACAATTTCCAAATTGGCACATTAGTTTTCTCAACTGAGGCAGTAATCTGTTGTATTCCCTATTGCCAGAGTGATTAAGCAGGTGTTGCTTGTTTAAAAGGTCTTCTGATCTTCATTCCCTGCTGTGGCAACAGCATTTGCATGATTGTCTAATTTTTTGAAATTCTGGTAGCATTTTATCACATGACACTTAATCACTTTGATTAGGTTATCTAGTATGTAGATAAATCCATCAGTATATTCTGCCATTTTACCACTGGCAATTGAGACTGTTGATAGAAGGCTTGGCTCCCACTTTCTGTATAGTGGCTCTGTACATTGTGCTGTGAACCATGCTGACAACTTAAAGTTTCCACATTCAGACCACAGTTTATTCAGTCTTTCTGAACATCAGTTAGCGGGAATAGATTTTCTCCAAAAGTAGAACAGGACAATAGGAAACACTGAGCCGAGCTGTCAAGGACTCCTACTGCCTGTCAAGGTCTGCTGTGTTTCAAATGGCTTTGATTTCACTTTTATCAGACCACAACAGAACAAAACGCAAGCCAAATAAGAGGTTGCTTCTTCTTGCCAAAATGTGATTTAAAAGTTAGCTTTATAAAAGCTTAGTTTTTTTCCCCCTCTCTGTCCAACCATTGTCAGAAACCCTCTCATTCCTAACTTGTCAACCTGGCACCAATCCCTGACGTGTAGGGCACAAACACTGGGTAGGATTCCAGTCCATGTTTCCATTCAGCCGAGTCTGCATGTCTAGAACGTAGCTGCAAACTCATGGGGATGTGGGGAGAATGAGCTTCCTCACTGTAGTCCAGTGCACTACTGTGCTGCCCTTATTTCTTCATTCACAGTACAGATGCCAATTCTCTGTTCATCTGCCTCCATTCCTGACCTCCCCCTTTTGCTAGTGACTGTGACTAGCACATGAATAAACACAAAAGATGTTTCCCACCTCTAAGTACACACCCGTATGGGTCTGTTCAAACGGGGCACACTTGAGCTGGGCAGTCACTCACCCGCAATGTACCGGAAACCTTGTGTGGCAGGGCTATAGGACTGTTTTTTCCCTGCAGTCTCAATTTCTCCCACCGGTTATTAAATCTTGGTGAAAAAATAAAGTTATTGACAGTAGAGAAGAATTTTACACATTTTGAATTAAGCACACAATCTCGGTAAATGTTGTTGCAAAACCCCGGTCTCGCCATAGGTGAGATTGAGAGTTCCCACGAATTGTGGCGTGATGCAGCCCTTCCTGCTCTCTAGTCACTTTAATGGATAATGTAAAGCGACATACAAGTGAAGAAAATACAGGTCGTGCAGCAGACATTTCAGCACAGAAATGTTCCAACGTCATGCATGTAGTGTTGCCAAGTAAGTAGCATTTGTCGGTAAAACCGGCTAGAAATCGAGAACAGTGTTTTTATTGGATTAAAAGATGTCTTCACAAGCCTGCGGCTTCACCTCACAGGATGTTTTGTTGCCTCTTTCTGAATCGCAGAATGTGGTGCTCCTCATACCTGGAAATGTAGTCTTTTGTAATGTAAATTGGAGTTTTATAAGTTACTGTGTACATTGTACTTTAATTTGGTTTGAAATTTGCTCATCAATGCAGTTACAGTTCCTAGTGAATCACAGGACTGAGAAAAGAAGCCACGACTGTAACTCAAACACGTAAAGCAGAATTATTAAGTACACTACTCACGCTGTGTGCTGACAGTAGATAAAATAATATTCCAGACCACATCTTTTATGTGTGACATCGTTGTGTGACGGAGTGTTATTTTGATCATGTTAGATATTTTGTCCCTCTCAACATTAGGTGTTATGCTGTTCATTTTTTAAAAGATTCTTGAAGTAAACTTCTCACTGGAAACAAACAGAATATGAGATGCGGTTTGAGATCTCATTATTTACTTGGTCCACGACCTCAGCATTGTGCTGTGCTGCAGACAGAGTAGACTGCAGCAGTAACTATAACACACGTCACACAGGTGTGAAAAAGGCATCCAAGATGTTTCTACTGTTGATTAACTCTTATTCGAGCAACTTTGCTCTTCATGTTCAATGAGTAATATCTAATTTGGTGTTTCCTATTTTATTTATTTTTTTCGAAAAACCCTTTACACATTTATGCCTAATTATTTATCATTAATTATATTAAGCGTATTAATTATTTTAAACATATTAGTTTTGTTATACTTTAATAAATAGAAATAAAAATGCTTAAGCTGTTGAGCCTTCTTCAGTATGAAATTAACCTCTGCTTGTTCCATTGGTGTTTGCATACTAACAGAGACCCTACTTGATTCTTTAATAGTCAGACTTTAAACGTTATTTAACAAAAACCACAATGCACTGTTAATTTAAAAAGTAACCTCTGTCTGAGCCTTTTAATGGCCATAAAGAGGCTTCGTTTTCTCAATTTCTGCCATCACAATAAGTTTCAAGAGCAAGCACTCTGCCACATTGCTGTAGCACAAAAATGTCCTACCAGTTCCTTCTTTTTTTAAAGAGTATGGAACAAGTTGCCCATCCATGCTGTCGAAACCACTATCCTAGATTTTTTAAGAAACAACTTTATGAGATCTTGCATCAGTTATCTACTCATTTACTAATTATGAAACGGGTCACATGGGCTGAGTGGTCTCTTCAAACTTATAACCATTCTTATGTTCTTAAACATCTTAACTGTTCTAAGACGGTTAGAATTAAGTTTCCTCTACATTTTACAGTAATTGCTAAGAGTATGTCCGTGACCTCATTCCTCGGGCATTGTGGTTACATCCCTAGTGCTTTGGAATGATGTACTCTTTTGGTCAAAGTAATATACATGTAGCAGACACCCTGTCACTCTCTTGTTCTATATATATATACCACATTCATATTCTTCCCTTTCATTTAATAATTCATGCAGCAGTCAAGCTTGTAAACATCTCTGGGCTACTTTAGCATGACATACTGCAAGAGATGATAAAATTGTGGTTCTTTGTTCATAACTTTTCATACCATTCGCACTTAAGTCTTGCCTTCATACCCTTTAAGCAGTTTCCATGTTCCGGACCACCCTTCACTGAGCCCTGCTGACTCCTCATGCTGGAGTGCTTCCACTGTGACTCAGTACAGTAGAGCTCTGGTGCAGTACGTGTTTTGAGAAGTGTTGGAACTGACTTAAACCAGTTTAACCTTTGATAATTTACTTCTTGTAGCTGTTAGTCCATGTTTAAAATATTGTGTACGTGGTTTTGTAATAAAATCGTCCTGTTATACGTTTACTTGACAGAGCAAGTGGGATGATGAAGCACACCTTAAGTAGCACTCAGGTGACCTTTATGCAAGGTGACTTACTTTCAGAACAATTACAGAACTGGAACAAAATATTTTGTGCAAAATGTATATATTCAAGAGTGGTGTAACACTTGAAATTTGTCATAATGCGATAAATCACACAGTAGGGGCAAAAAAAAAAACTCCAGGAAGCACAATTTATAACAGCCGAGGTGAGGAATTACAATACAGCACACCTGAAGTAACACCGTAGTGGTGATGACAGATTGCAGGGTGCAGGCAGAGATGGATTGTCGGAAGAGCAAGGGAATGGAGAGCTGGGGCTTTTGAAGTGGTGCAGGCATTTGCTTAGAAATTCTGACCTTCACATGACTGCTGTGAGGATGCCTTTGTGAGCTCCGAAGTCCAACAGTTCATCGTTTAAAGATTGAACGCGCTACTGTACATTGAAGCAAAAAAAAAAATAGTTTTAAAGACTGATCTCTTTTAAAATGCCGAACAACAATAAATTATTTGCTTTTCACTGTTGTGCACTTGGGCAAAGTTTTGTTTAAATTGGTCTGATAAATGCCCAGAGGTATGACCGGGTCTCCGTGTAGTCTTTGTTCATGACAATTCTTCATCTGACTGTTGCCCTGTAAAAAAAGAAAGGTGGCCTTTGGCTCCGTCTCTGTTGTCTCCCGGCTCCATTCCTGCGTTACGCAACACGCGCCGTGGAAACCAGCTTTCGGTTCTGGTTGTGGTGCGTTCCGGCTAGACCGTGACGGAGTTTGCGTGCTTTTTTTCCCCCCCGCCGCCGCCTTCAGGGAGCGACGACGAGTACAGCGACGACGACGACATGAGCTGGAAGGTGCGCCGGGCTGCTGCCAAGTGCCTGGACGCCGTGGTCAGCACGCGCCACGAGATGCTGCCCGAGTTCTACAAGACCGTCTCCCCGGCCCTGATCGCCCGGTTCAAGGAGAGGGAGGAGAACGTCAAGGCGGACGTCTTTCACGCCTACCTGTCCCTGCTGAAGCAGACGCGGCCGGCGCAGAGCTGGCTGTGTGACCCCGACGCCATGGAGCAAGGGGAGACGCCTCTGACCATGCTGCAGAGTCAGGTACTCCTCCTGGGCAGGGCTGCCCAGTCCGGCTCCTGGTGGGCCAGGGGTCCGTCGGTGTGGGTCCTAGTGCCCCAGCGAGTCCGGCAGGATTTTGTTGTAGCTCAGCTCTTAACGGGCTCACTCAGCTGGCGACTGGTTTAATTGGACCAGTATAAGAGCGTCTCCCAGCTCTTCGTGTGTCGCTACTCTTAAGCAGATGTGGAAAAACTCCAGGCCCTTCAGGACCAGGACTGGACAATTGTCAATGGACAAAACTTTCCTGCTTCATATTAATAAATAATATGAAGCTATAAAAGTGACCCTGTAACTCACAGCTGGCAACCCACTGAAGCTCAGCAGGTGTGAGCCTGTTCAGTACCTAGGTGGGAGGCCTCCTGGGAAAAAACTAAAGTTGCTGCTGGAAGAGGTGTTAGAGGGGCCAGCAGGGGTTACTCACCCAGCGGTCTGTGTGGGTCCTAATGTCCCAGTACAGTGACGGGGACACTATACTATATCGCCTCCCCACTAATAGCTGGTGTGTGGTGAGCGTTCTGGCACACTATGGCTGCTGTCGTGTCATCCAGGTGGGGCTGCACATTGGTGGTGGTGGAGGGGAGTCCCCATTACCCGTAAAGCACTTTTGAGTGGAGTGTCCAGACAAGTGCTATATAAGTTTAAAGAAGGATTATTATATTTAATGAAATATTTCGAAATATGTATGATGTTCTTTAGCAACTAATGAAAGATGTTAAATCTTTAATGATTCCTGTGTAAAAGCTACAAAAAGCACAATTGCATTTTGCTGGCAAAACTGTCTTCTCCAAACATTGGAATGCTACTGTTGCAATATGAAACATTTTTCGCCGGAAATAGGGAAGACTACGCTATTGGAACTAAAAAAATAAATATAAACCACTTTTGCAACAAAATGAAACTGAGCCTGTGCCATCTGGAGTGGTATAATTGAAGTCTTGAAATTTGAAGGTTTTGTTGAGTGATGTTTGTTCTTTGTTCCCAGTTGACTGAGCTAATCTTGAATCAGCTTTCACATTCCTGGCATTCAGCTGCTGATCAATCAGTCAACAAACATCACAGTGTGCATAATTGTGAGGCATGGACCACAAGAGGTCAATCTGGCAGTCTTAAGTTTGATTGCATAACAAAGTTTTGTCTACAAGCAAATATCATATTCTGCCAAAGCTTGCAACATGAAAATTGCTTGCAATTGCTTTTGGTGTTTAAATTGTATGGATTTTATTTCTACGGTTGGAGGTGAAAATATGCTTTTGGCTACGTTAACAGTGGAAAACCTCCCTGAGGATTGACAAATACAATAATTTTCTCTGTCAGCATGTGTATATATATTTTGTTTTATATAGGTTCCTATGATTGTAAAAGCCCTTCACAAGCAAATGAAGGAGAAGAGTGTTAAAACCCGGCAGTGTTGCTTCAACATGCTGACCGAGCTGGTGAACGTATTGCCAGGAGCCCTGACCCAACACATACCAGTTTTGGTTCCAGGTATGCACTGCAAGCACATTTTCTCTGCCTTCGTTACTTCAGAGAGCAATGCAGGAAAGTCTCGGGCGTCTGAAATGATTTGATAGGATATAGGATCTGCACAGAACAGTTTATTTCCAGATCGTAACTGATGTGTACCTTCTTTAGTCATCTTAATATGTCTGTTGCCTTGAAAAACCGTGTTAGGTTGCTACAGTACTGAGATGGGGATTCTACACTTAAATCACTTCCCAAGAATTACCTTCATACCATGATTACCAATGCATATAATGGCAACTGTTTACTGTGTATGTGTAGTTATTAATTATTTATGGTTATGTTGGTGCCTTGTTTTTGAGGTAGCTTAAAATTTGCTGTGCCTGGATCTTCTTTTCAATGGCTACATTTAAGCTTCTTGTTTAATGTTCTAGTCGGAGGACTTAGTTGTCCAAATTGTTTATTTAAATGTTCTTTGAAGTATGCCAGTTCAGTCTTAAGACTCCGTGGGCTGTCACTAAAAGTTGGACACTGCCTATGGGCAGAAATGTTAAGCAGTGGTCAGGGTTCTGGAGTCATAACTGGAAGGCTGTGGGTTTGAGTCCCAGGTGAGACGCCGCTGTTATACCATTAAGCCGGTCCTTCACCTCAGTTCTTCCAGTAAATCACTCAGTGGTATAAATAGGTACAAATGAAGCAGCCAGATAAAGAACATGTTAATAGTAGTAAAAGTAAAAATAGTTTTACAGGGTTTGAAATTCAGTATGGGTGCCTGCTTATTTAAAACTGCGCTTGTGAATGTGATGTACTCTTGTAATTTCTAGATGTTTCCTGAAAACAGTCAAACGGGTGAGAACGGGTGTTAGTTATTTGCTTAATTAACACATGATCCACACCTGCCTTTGCTTTCAGTTTACTTCATTGAGTGAGGAGTACCTTATTTAGTTTGGTGTTTCCACCATCACCCGTACATTGTAAAAGTGCTCCGACCCAGACCTTTTTATTTAGTATTACATATTAGACTGGAATAATTTAACGTATGTTTGGGGGGGGGTTGTCGGAGCAAAATTTCAAATGCAACAAAGTACCAGAATAAGTGAAAGTTAAAACTTTGAATTTAACAATATGAAGCTATAAAATATATTATTTTAAATGTTACTGAAGTCCCTCTGGCTTAGGGAAACCTAGTCACTGTTGGCCAGAGCCAGTACCTTGGCTCAAACCTCAAGTGCCTCTACTGGTCGAGCCACTTGAGAAGACCCTGCTCAAACAAATACAAATGCAGACTTATTTTCTGCTTGCTGATAAAAACCAGTAAACATATTTGCAGAATTATGCATGGGCACGAGATGGCTGATGGCCCCTCTTTCCAGCATCTTCTGTGAACACGTGTTTAGTGCTGGGAACAGAATGAAATCTGAATTATTATGACACGCACTGAACAACTGCAATTTGACTAAAATTGACATTTGTTCTAGGGAGAGTTGATTTCAGTGCTGCTGTGGACTGAAAACAAAGGAGGGGGAATGTCAAAGCTGCAGTTTTCTGCATTGATGGACAGTCGCACCGGGGAAAACATCTGTTGCTTTCTAGAATGCTCAATTTAATGGAATCTATTTAGACGGTTTTATTCAACCCCTCAAATTTAAGAGTCTCCTTTATTTTATGCTAGTAGGGAGGAAATAAAACCTGAACATAAATATGAAAATCAAGGCTTCTCATTTAAGCTATAATGTGTAGTGTGTAAACAAAACAGAGCAGGCGACCTAGTACTCTGGAAAATTGTGTGCAATCTATTTTTGTTTTTCCACAGGCATCATATTTTCACTCAACGATAAATCCAGCTCCTCAAACTTAAAGATCGACGCATTGTCCTGCCTGTACGTTATTTTGTGTAATCATACTCCTCAAGTCTTCCACCCTCACGTGCAGGCTCTTGTGCCTCCAGTCGTGGCTTGTGTTGGGGACCCCTTCTATAAGATCACTTCCGAAGCCCTGCTGGTCACACAGCAGCTGGTCAAAGTCATACGACCTCTGGACCAGACAGCAGCTTTTGATGCCTCCCCTTACATTAAAGACCTCTTCAGCTGTACCATAAAGCGGCTCAAGGCTGCAGATATTGATCAAGAAGTGAAAGAGCGAGCCATTTCCTGCATGGGCCAGATCATCTGTAATTTAGGAGATAGCCTGGGCAGCGACTTGCCGAGCACCTTGCAAATCTTCCTGGAGAGGCTGAAGAATGAGATCACGAGGTTGACCACAGTAAAGGCGCTGACGCTGATTGCTGGCTCCCCGTTGAAGATCGACTTGAGGCCCATCCTGGGGGAAGGCGTGCCCATCCTGGCCTCCTTCCTCAGGAAGAACCAGCGGGCCTTGAAACTGAGCACGCTGGCCAGCATGGACATCCTCATCAAGAACTACAGCGACAGCGTGACGCCGGCCATGATTGATGCAGTGCTCGTTGAGCTCCCTCCTCTGATCAGCGAGAGCGACATGCACGTCTCCCAGATGGCCATCAGCTTCCTCACCACCCTGGCCAAGGTGCACCCCGCGTCCCTCTCCAAGATCAGTGGCTCCATCCTTACTGAACTGATCGCTCTGGTGCGTTCTCCCTTGTTGCAGGGAGGAGCCCTGAGTGCCATGCTGGATTTTTTCCAGGCCCTGGTGGGGACTGGCACAACCAGCCTAGGGTACATGGACTTGTTGCGCATGTTAACGGGACCAGTCTATGCACAGAGCACAGCACTTACCCACAAGCAGTCTTACTATTCCATTGCCAAATGCGTGGCGGCACTCACTCGAGCCTGTCCCAAGGAGGGCCCGGCTGTGGTGGGCCAGTTCATCCAAGACGTGAAGAACTCCAGGTCCACCGACTCCATCCGCCTGTTAGCCCTTCTTTCCCTGGGGGAGGTGGGCCACCACATAGACCTGAGCGGACAGCCGGAGCTGAAGTCGGTCATCTTGGATGCCTTCTCCTCCACCAGCGAGGAAGTAAAGTCGGCAGCGTCTTACGCCCTGGGCAGCATCAGCGTCGGCAATCTGCCCGAGTACCTGCCTTTCGTGCTGCAGGAGATCTCCAGTCAGCCCAAGCGGCAGTACCTGCTGCTTCATTCCTTGAAAGAGATCATCAGCTCTGCCTCGGTAGCCGGGCTCAAGCCCTATGTGGAGAGCGTCTGGACGCTGCTGCTGAAGCACTGCGAATGCACGGAAGAAGGGACCAGGAATGTGGTTGCTGAATGCCTTGGAAAACTCACCTTAATAGACCCCGAAACATTATTGCCGAGGCTTAAAGGCTATCTTGTGTCAGGTGGGTTTTTCTGCCTTTAAGTTTTATGCATGTTGCTCAGGTGTTACTTAGAGACTGTAGAAACGGAACAAAATATTCTTTTGAAGTAAATCATAATCTGCATTGTGAGTTTATGTATTTAGAAATGTATGTTTGGCACTGAAATTAATAAATCTGTCCATTGAGGTCTGTGATTGCTGCACAATGCTATCAGTTCTTATTGTCTAGTTAGGGGATCAGTGCAGTCATTGAATTCATTTTTATATTGTTCAGCTCATGTGATTTTGAATAGACATTTTTGCCTATCTTTACATTAACCATTTTTAATGTAACATTGACCTTGGCTTTCATTAGACTGATGTGTTTTTTATTGTGTCTTTCCAGGCTCATCCTATGCACGTAGCTCTGTAGTCACTGCAGTGAAATTTACCATTTCTGATCACCCGCAAACAATTGATCCACTCCTGAAGAACTGCATAGGTACTTTTTTTATGTGTTTGGAGAAGTTTACTGCTCTTTATTTTAGCAAAATCTCAGGTTTGAGTTTATTGAAAGATTCTTTAATAATACATTTTAAAGACATAACCTTCATTTCGAATTTATAAAGTGAATATTATATTGAAATCATGCAATGAATATACTTTTAATCTCATTGGTCATGCAATTCCTGTAGTAAAAAGATAGACACAAATATTTACTGATGCTTATAGATCCACAGGGTTTTACTTTCAAGGTTTTTCTATTGTATACGCTATAGGCGCATCTTTCAACTTGAAATTGTATCCTTTAACTGATAACTGAACTTTGTATGTTTTAAATAGGTGACTTCCTAAAAACGTTAGAAGACCCAGACCTGAATGTGCGAAGGGTGGCCCTGGTGACATTTAATTCTGCAGCGCACAATAAACCTTCCCTGATAAGGGACCTCCTAGACACTGTTCTTCCACATCTTTACAATGAGACAAAAGTGCGGAAGGAGCTCATCAGAGAGGTGACTGAGGCCCATCTCTTTCTCAGCCTTGTTTGGTCCAGGCACTTTTTACCTGCTTTTCACCATTCCGAGTTTTGTGCTTATGATTTGTGAAATTTACACATGTTGTGCCTAATAAGAGGTATCTAAACAGCTGTGAACCAAAATGCTGTGCGACTGAATCTTTTCTCCAGACAGCGAGAACTCCTTAAATAGCTAAATATGTATTGTTCTCGATGACATGGCACTGTACTCATCTATTTTATATTCAACATTCAATATGTTTGGAACATGGAAGGAGCATTAAAGCACAACAAATGTGTAAATGTATATAATAAGTAGAAATCACCTCTATATAATGTGCTATTATCATGATATCTATTATCATGAGCTATTATTATATTTACATGTAATTCTCTGGAGGAGTGTGGCTCTTTTTAGATGTGTGCTCTACAGCTATTAATTGGTTCTTTTTAAAATGTGTTTGCCCGTGGTTTTTTTTCTTTGTGGATCTTTGGGTCTAAAATGACGTGGCCATTTTCAGGTTTTTTGTATATATCGCCATGGATATATATTTAAATTCCATGTCTTAGTGTTAACCACATTGGAACGTATTTGTGCAAAGCTATTGCTCTGCTGTGATGGGCTGCCATGCTCATCATGGAAACATGCAAAGCAGGGCTTGTTTTAAAGCCCCACGCCTGCTCTTGTCAGCAGTTCACCCCTCTGCTGCCGTGCCCAAGTGAAACAGCCTCCTGGGTGATGGATAGGAGCTGAACTGTGTTGGTCTCAGCAACGCGTCCTGTGGCTTATTGAATATTGGCTGAAAATTCAATTTTAAGATTAGCATAAACCTTCCTGAAGAGCCTGAACCCATGGTCCGAGATTGCTTCGTCAGCTTCATCAGCCTTACTCTCCTTGCCCAAATAAAAATCTGTTTTTGACTTTGGTATTTTCTTGAGCCATGGCCATCTAGAACCTAATGATAAAAGCAAGCCTTCTTTTCTTTCATTGGGCAAGCCTGAGAGTCACGTTGCAGGCGTAAGACTCGGTTAAGGCAGATTTCCACATAGTATTTGCCTCATACGTTTTGCTCATCTTCTCCCTTATATGCCAGGTGGAAATGGGACCATTCAAGCACACAGTGGATGATGGCTTAGACATCCGAAAGGCAGCGTTTGAGTGCATGTACACACTGCTGGACAGCTGCTTAGACAGACTAGACATCTTTGAATTCCTCAATCATGTTGAAGATGGATTAAAGGACCATTACGATATCAAGGTACTTTCCCATTTTTTTTTGGTTCACTGTGATATTGCTTTATATGGTTTTTACTAAGTTGTATTTTTAAACAGTTTTCATTCAACGGAGAGGGAGAGAACCCAAGTGTGTGAAATCTTTTATTCTTGTAGATGCTGACTTTCTTGATGCTGGCCAGGCTATCCACACTTTGCCCGAGTGCGGTTCTGCAGAGGTTGGACAGACTTGTGGAGCCACTGCGTGCAACATGCACAACAAAGGTAAATGAAAAATCTGTTCTGGGTGGTGCTGTAAGCTACAGTTTTTTTTAATTGGAAACTTTTCAAGAATTGTAACGTATGTACCATTGTAAAGTTGATACACAGTAAGATTGGAGAGTCCCTTTTAATGCCAAAGCACTGCTTCAAATTCTTGGTAAACATGTCCCTCAAAAGAAGAGCAGATAGGACAGTCAAAACTTGTCCTGCCAGCTGTTTGATTTTAAACACACCTCAACATTCAGTGTTGGGACTAACAATTACAAAATGATACAAACACCTTATTTAAAAAGCCCCTCTGCTAACTGGCTAATTTTTAAGTGCTTAAGCTGTGCTTTCTACATTATTATTTTATGTCAGGCATCTTAAAAGTGCAGGCAACTGAAACTTATTTTCAAAAATTCAATAGGTATCCAAAAATTGCCTTAAGTCATTCACAGGTTTTTAGAATCGCCTAGGTGGTCAATAATCAGAGAGGATGCATGTTGATGCCACTTTCCTTTGTTTCCACAGGTCAAAGCCAACTCGGTCAAGCAGGAGTTTGAAAAGCAGGATGAGCTCAAGCGATCAGCCATGAGGGCGGTAGCAGCCCTTCTGACCATTCCAGAGGCGGAGAAGAGCCCACTCATGAGCGAATTCCAGTCCCAGATCAGCTCCAACCCCGAGTTAGCCGCTATCTTTGAGAGCATCCAGAAGGACTCGTCATCTGCTAACATGGAGTCCATGGACACTAGTTAAAATGTCTGCTTCCGAAAACTTGGGGACCCTTTTATTGTTCCATGCATTGCACTGAAACTACAGTTTAGAAAACCGAAAAACAGCAAAAATGATAAAGAAAACATTGTCTAAGCTCCAGTGCTTATCACTATGTTCCTCTTTTACCATAAACAACAGTATGATTGGCTATTTGTTCTTGTTGCTTTTTTTGTCTAGTGTTTAATCCAGAAAGCTGCAAAGTGCACAGGTTACTTTTCATGCAGCGTTCATACGCTATCAAGTATTATTTGGTAGCAGAAAAAAGAAATAATTGAAAACCAATTGTATAAAACCTACTGTTGGCTTTAAGGATGGGAGATTTATAGTTATTGTCTTTTGGAGTTGGATCCAGTTAACTCATGAGTTATATCCTGGGAAGGGAGGGGGTAGGATTCAATCTTTATATAATTTCATGACCATCCCTTTTTTTATTTCCTTCTTCAGTTTCCATGCTTTTCATATCTAGATTGTTTTTGTACTGTTTGAAATATCATCTCTGCCTGATCTTTAAGTTAAGCTGTTGAGTATCAGTCTCCAATTGGCAGCAAGGAAACTCTGCTTCATAAAAGTTTACTACATTAAAGTGGTTTGGCACAGTTGGTAAAAACACAAGATAAATCTTTGTGATTTTTCTTCCTGTTAAGTAGAGAGTCATGATAATTTGAATTCTTTCTTTTTTTTTGCATGAGTGAAGTAAGCCAGTGTGCAGTTCATCTTTTAACAGTATATAAAAGTTTAAAAATTAAGACATTTCCTGTCATCCTCAGTATATACCATTACGTTTCTTTTTCAGCTGGTGGTTAATGGTGAGACATGGTGTCAAATACAAGTTTTCCTAATTATAGGCCTTGCTGCAGAACTTTTGGGGGGGGGGGCAGGGGAGTAATTGCTCTATAAGAGTAACCTAATGCACATCAGCAAAAATGTGAATGGCAATTTTAGTGAGAGCAATGTCCAAGGTTAAGTTTGAGAAAAAATACACTTTGACACAATTTACTGCAGGTAGGCTTTCAAATGTAGCTTGGAACTCTTTCCTTTTTGGGGCCAAATATAGTCGTAGGAAATCTTTAGAACCTTGTTATCAATCTTTTTAAGAGCTTGTTGTTCAATAAGTTAATCAGCAGGATGAATTGAAATTGGATGAAAATCATATTCTTTCTCTTGGGCTTCGTGGAAGTATTCATGTCAAGACAGTGTGATAATAGAGTTGAGGTCCAGGACCAGTTAGGTGAACCAAGTTCATAACATCTCAACACTTTGGTTACAAATCAGGTCACTGGGAAAGTTCAATAGTTTCAGAGTATTATTGAGGTTGTTTTTTTTTTAAGTACAGCTGTGATAGACACTGACAGCAATCTAGAAAATAAAATGGATACTCCTCTTTACTTTTAAATCCTTCGTCGGTCCTCTCAGCATTTCTTTTTTCATATTAAAGTCTTAGGATTATTTTTTCATGTTCAAACAAATGTTTAAAAAGCCAGACGCTTTTGCACAGCTATGTCATGAGATACATTGTTCGTGAAGAGGGAAAGTCTTTTGCTCTTGCCCTCAAGATATCAAGATAAGGCTAAAAAGTTTTTTTTAAATGTCTAAAAGGTAGGTTTCTCTTGGTTCGTTTTCTCATGAAATACAGTTTGCTTTGTTGGTTAATGCACCTGCACTTGCTTTCTCTCCAGTGGGAGAAACTTCTTTGAAACCTGTCCTGTAGATCCTACAGTATACCTCCTGCATCTCTCAAAATGCTAAACCACCATTGTTTTCATGCATATTGGTGGAGACATTAATTCCAGTTGTTCAAAATCCTTTTCATATGCTTTGATTAAAAAGGGTCTGTTGAAACTCTCGTGCTGTATAGAGGGCCACAGATAACTGGTGTACTTGATAATCCAAATGATGCAATAAACACCGATTTATCTTCTATGTTTTTGAGTGAAGCATTGCAGAAAAAAAAGGTTCAGCTGAAGCATGCCTCCTTGAAGCACTTAGACAGAAGGGGAGAATTAACTTAGAAATAAGTTATGGGCTTAAATAGAGACAGTACCTCTTACCAAAACTCAAGCAGCATCTGAGCAAATGCCACTTTGAGACTTGGGAGTTTTTCTGCAGGTGGGTGTCTTCAGAGCCCCAATGCCAAGTTTTACAAACCAAAAATATGAGAACTGATGTTTTTGCCATAGGGATGTCTACTTTTGTCAAATGGTAATTTGTCCGAAGCAGGGAAGTACTTAAAAACACGACAGATGCCCCAGCTCTCCAACGTGAAACGTGCAGATGAAAAGCCATTTAAGGTATTTTGACTAACGGTGTGGTCCGTTACTTGTTTTGAACCCTCATGAACACAATTTGGATGTCCTCAGCTGACCCGTGTTGATACCCAGTTCTTACAGCTAAGCAATTATCATCAATTGTGAGTAAATGAGACTCGGAAATATAGTTCAATGTCACATCTCTAGGCGGGGTACTTATAAGTGCATGTGAGGTCTGCCAGTGTTTTTTCTAATACTGATCATATAGATTGAGGTTAGGAGCACATAGAATTGGGCTTTTGTTTTTGCAAACCAAATATATTTGCAGAAGGGTAAATGAACAGGGTTGAATGTACACAATTATTTTCTAGTGACTCTTACTGCAGCCAGGACTGTACACTATTAATTGTGACGCAGCATCATGATTGAACTGCAAATGAAGATAAATGTGTCTTAGGGGTGGATGCTGTCTGCACCGATCTACAAAAAACTTGAAACTCCATTAATATTATTTTAAAACCACAGGATGACTGATGCATCAGATCAGTTTGCTTTGTCCTCGGCAATAAAAACATTGACAATAGAGTCATTCTTTTCTCTGTATAGATGTTTTATATGCTAACCTTCAAATGAAACTCATCCCTTATAAATGCAACAAAGAAATGATGTATTAATTGACAAAATTATCCATCTCTGGCCAAATTTACCCCTGGTCTTCACCAGTCATGTCTTCCTACTAATCTAACAATTGGCCCCATAACTCTGCTCTCTTCCCCACAGATAGCTGGTGTGTGGTGAGCGTACTGGTGCACCATAGTGCATTTTCCAGGTGGGAGCCACACATTACCACTAAAGTCCAAGGTCCGGTTTACTCATGTAATACTGTAGGTCATGCAGAATAGGGGTCAGTGATAGGGGTCCTCTCCTCTGTGTTCTACCTAAAAGGACAGGATTATTTTACGGGAATTGGCAGCTCTTCTCCTGTTAACAATGCAAATCGATTTGCTCATGTCACGTTCCTATCAGTTCCTCAGAGAAATAACCATTTAAACATTTGAATAATGCTGTGGAAAAGCCAGCCCATAAATTAAAGGTCAACTGTCCAGATAAGATGGATGGATCATTTCAAAAACGTATCATGGACGTACAAAACTTCACATTTCAGCACTTTCAAATGCATATGACACGACGGACGTCTGTTAAAGACGGATACCTGAGTTGTACAAGAACGGAGTTTCGATGCCGTTTAATAAGTGCAAAGGCATGTATTTGAGACCTGGTTAATTGCTCAGTCCTCTTCTGTTTAATGAAAAATGCAATCCTATTTTCCACACTAATGACTCTTACTAATAGTGTTAAACACCAATTTGCCACTTTGTAATTTCATACAAAGAGTGAAGAATAACGTTGAATGGGATCATTCATTAATTAGTGTGCAGCACCGAGCTCTTGGCTTCTGCTCAAAAGGGGCTTTCTTATGTCTTAGAAATACTTGCAGTCACTGCATGATTGTTTTTTTTGTATCCCCTGGCTTTGGAACTGCCAATTCGGCTCTAACCTCTCTATTGCTTGGGAAGATTGAGGACCTGTTCTGGCGCTCCTCTGACTTTCACTCCTATTTGCATCTTCTGTCTGTCATTGGACAAGCTGCAAGGAAGAACTGTGGCTGACGGGAGGAGCAGCACATCTCTCACTCCACTGTTTGCTCACAGGTGCCCCCTACCAGATCCCAGAAGTCACTGCGAGAAAATCCTATCTCCTGCCCACCTTACCCTGGCAGCACTCTGCTTGCTGTGTGCCCTGTTGCTGGGGAAATCGTGGTCAAAGCCCAGGCTCCAACCCATAATACCTCACTTATAGAACTTCAGTTGAGTGCCTTCACTGTCTGAGCTGCTCGGGATCCCCACTAATCTTATTTTTCAACCTGTGTGATATTTGAGAAGTATGAGCCTGAAACAAAAGACGACGCATCAGTAAAAGGTATGTGAATAGAAAAGGTTTATATTAGGTATCACTTGTGTAATTAAAAAAAAATACATAAAATACTGTCTCCCCAAGATGAAGATGAACAGCAACCTTTAAGCTTTCAGGGTACATCATGACATCCATTTCTGAATAACTGGTTAGTTATGCAGTTAGCCGAGTTCTTTTCATTCTCTTGCTGCCTTTAAGGGCATCTTTTTTAACAGTGAAACACCAACCAGAGGACACAAGTGTAAGCTAAATTGAGGTGTATTTAAAAACCAGAAAAGGAGGCATGTTTTACCCACAATCTTCTATTATTATGGAACAAGCAACCAAGCAATGTTGCTGAGGCCGATACCCTGACTTCTTTGGACAAACATCTGGATGAGATCCTTGGATCAATTAACTATTGATCAAGAGGCTAGACTCGCCAAAAGGCCTCCTATCGTTTGCAACCTTGTTCTTGTATTGAGTACAATCCTATACTTAAAATCGGTGTCTCGGAATTAAATCCAAAGGCAAAGCTCCAATGGATTTAGCCATAAGTCATCAGTCATTTTTGTTATTTGTAGGTGATGAAAGATATGGATATCTGGTGTTGTCACTAGTTATTTTCTCATGTGGCAAAATGTTTCAGAAATACATAATTCAAATTGCATTGCCTGGCAAACTCGTCTACAATATTTAATAATTGAAGGGGATGACTAACTGTGCATCATAAAGTGAATTATTAATTCACCTCACCAAATGACTTATTTTGGGAAAAGCTGACCTTTTTTGAGGGTTAATCTGAAATTCCCAGTGGGAGGTTGAAAAGACAGGCTCAGCAGGAGGTAACCTGCCCCCCCCAGTTCAAATTAACAGCACCTCATTACTGCTGACAAGAACATTCACAGTTAGCTGAACATTGCCACAGTCTCCGCTTCATCTCAAAGTTAAAACCTAATTTTCAGCTGCCAGAGCTGTGCGTTTTATGAAGTCTTCTATTGAGAACAACAAAAAATCTTTCCTGACAACAGAGGAATATCAACATGATGGTTGCAGCTCTGTGAAAGAAAACAGGTTTCAGCACATGTGAGAAGCATTTAATTAATCAATTGAGTACATATTAATGAACTACTACATTTAAGTATGTGTTATGGCTATGATTTGTGTATCTTTAACCATTTCAGTGTACTTCATAAATAACACCAAAGTTGCACCTGCTGTTTAGAAAGTGCTTCTTGTACTTTATTTCTACTTAATGCACTCTTCACAGAGTAAAACCTACTCTGCCCTAAACTGTAAGCTAGGAATAGTGGGTACTAGTTCAAAACCTGGGTAAGTCACTGCTGTTACAGTATATCTTTGAACGAGGTGCTTGCTTCAGTAATATGCTCTCCTGTATAAATAGAAACAAATATGAATAATAATTTTCAAAAAGAAATTAATGTTTTTAACTTTACTTTCCTTCCCATACATCTTTAGGTGGGTAGGTTTTATATCTATCATTTTACTTTCCCTTGCCTACTTCAGCATCATTTTTTGCCACCTTGAATTAAATTGTTTTTTCATGAACTTGGTATTTCTTATGGACTGAAGTGAAGAAAGACTGTTTGTTCTATCAATCATTTTGTTGTGTATCAATCTCAACAAGAGCAACAAAGCCTAAGAAAATTAATAAATAACTCAGAGAAGTACCTGCAGACATATTACAAAGATGTAGTCATTTATTAATTGCTTTGCAATCCTCCGCTGTTTATACATTAACAAATAAATCACCATAGTAATGAGATGGCATTCTTGAGAAAATAGGATTCTTCCCTGAATGTAAATTTCAGAGCAGACTGCAAAGTAGTAAATGAAACCTGTGGGCTGGCAGCACACATCTGTCTTTTTCAGTATTATTTGAACTTGACTGAGGTAGAAGCGGAAATATTTCTCAGTAAGGTTCTAAAAACAAGGACGGTTATTCAGCAACATAAGAAGAAGGAAAACAGCAGGTGTTTCCAATGTTTTTACATGAATATTTGCAGCAAATCATCTGTAATCTTCAGGCTAACTGATGCTCATTTCTACAAATTCAGTGATCACACTGCAGGCCAGGACCTGGTTTCCTGTTTTGAATAGCAATAAAGGGACCGTTTGGAAAAAGGATTAGCTTCTGATCCTTTCTAAGACTTGTTTTCAGTGACCCAGGGCTTGTTAGTTCACATCCCTGTTGACTTTCAGGTAAGATTGTCCTTTTTTGTTCTTCCTCTTTATGTATTTTTTTTTCATCCGGTTTATTTTTTTCAACAGAATGTTCACTAGGAATAAGGACCCCCAAGAATTCAGTGTACTGAATTTAGTCAAAAATTCGCTCGGCTGAGGGCTAACTCTTGGCCATGTGACGAAGAAGCTAGGGCCCCCATGCAGAGAAAGGAGTAACCAAGGGGTAGCTGGAGATGGGGTGGATCAAGACTGAAAGACATATGCAAGGGAGAGAAAGGGATAACGTATAGTATTTATAATGTTCTGGGTGAGGTAATGACATAAGGAGTGATTGTGAATTACTGACAGCTGAGTCAGACCTCGGCAGTTGTCATTCCTCCCAAACATTTTCGTTATAAAATCCATTTAATGTGCACACTGTATATGCAGGGAGGATTTCTGTAGTCTAGTGGACCTCATCAAGGACAGTGTACATTGGTTTCTCAGGAACATTGCCGTTTTCATTTTTTAATATTTCATGTTCTTCCCTGACAGTGGGGTTTTTTTTTAGCTTGAGAACCTCATTACTAAGACTGACACTACATTGATGAATAACTAATTGATGATAAATCTTTCTGACGGTTGATGGTATAGAGGCGTTTTGCTTTTGCAGCATACTTAGAACACTCTTTTATGATTTTAGGAGCTGTGAATATCAGAGTACTTGGTTTTTCATCAAAACTGAACCAGAAACCACTATGGATGAGAATGAAGACAGGTTGGTTTACTACAATGCTACCCCAAGGGGCAGATCTTTGATAAAAAATTACCTTTCTTCCTTTTGAATCTTTTTAACATTTATATAGTGTAACAAATTATCATTCCTGTAAAACATCAACAAATAGTAAAAAAAGAAAAAATGTTGAGAGGACAAAATCTACACTTTGTATTTGTGCAAAACTAAAAACAAAAGACAACTCAGTGCTTCTGAAAAGGATAAAAGTTCAGTAAAGCACATAAATTGTGTTATTTTTTTCCAATTAGTTATAAATCTTAAATTATACGGTATATAATGTTATATGCTGCTCAAACTGCCCCTTCAAATAGATTTTTTTACTGTGACAAAAGAAGGAAACCAGTGATGATAGAGACAATAATGACACTGTCAGACCTCCTGGGAAAAACTAAGGTTGCTGCTGGAAGAAGTGTTAGTGGGGCCAGCAGGGGGCGCTCACCCTGTGGTCCATGTGGGTCCTAATGCCCCAGTATAGTGATGGGGACATTATACTGTAAACAGGCGCCGTCCTTCGGATGAGACATAAAACCGAGGTCCTGACTCTCTGTGGTCATTAAAAATCCTAGGGCGTTTCTCGAAAAGAGTAGGGGTGTAACCCTGGTGTCCTGGCCAAATTTCCCATTGGTCCTTACCAATCATGGCCTCCCAATAATCCCCATCTATGAATTGGCTTCATTACTTTGCTCTCCTCCCCACTGATAGCTGATGTGTGGTGAGCGTTCTGGCGCACTATGGCTGCCGTCGCATCATCCAGGTGGGGCTGCACATTGGTGGTGGTGGAGAGGAGTCCCCTTTACCTGTAAAGCGCTTTGAGTGGAGTGTCCAGAAAAGCGCTATATAAGTGTAAGCAATTATTATTATTATTATTAATATTATTATTATCATTATTATTATTATTATTATTATTACAGTACGTATGCTACAGTAGGTGGTCGATCTTGATCCATGTCAGAGTAAGAGTCTGTGGCTTTTGATTGTCGCTGTTCAAAAGACAAAGGCTAAACTTCACACTTTACAATATCTACAAAAGGTGCTGTGACCTTTTTTTTTTACAAATGTTTTTTTTTTCATCCGCAGGAGAAGCCCCTTCTATATCAAGGAAAAAAACATGGAGCTTCTCCACGGCAGGACGGCGAATTCCTTTGAGCACTGTTACAGAAAGAAGAGAGTGAAATCTCCCCTCAGAGACACCTCACCTGTGCCCTCTCATTACTCTGAACCTGTTTTTCTGAGATCCTACAAGGTAAACGCAAGAGCGGATTTCAGAATACTTGAGAGTGTTGATTTAATTTCATGTACGGATCACATTTTTCCCCAGACATAGCCAATTTCTCTATCCCCAAATGCTCATTGGGATTGAACTGTAATTATTTGTTTAATGAGCGTACTTCACAGTAACTGTCGATATTTCCTCTTTGCTAAAAAGACATACTGTAGCACCGAAAACGTTTCGCTTACAGTACATGGAAAACGTGCCGTAACTAACAGCCAGGTAATGGTCTCGGTTTAAAATGGTTATTATAATTAAATAATTTGGTACTGTGGTGTGTATATTAGAAATAATATTACAGTTAATTTATCCCACATTTAGGTATATATACGATTTTATTAACGTTCTATGTACTTATGAACAGCCTGGTTTTCAATAGGAGCGAGATTTTGTAGACAGGATTAAAATAATAGAATCACCTTTTTTTCAATATTTTAAAATGTTCTCAAAACGATGATCAATGCATTTTGTAGAAATTATCTGAAAACTCATAATTCGGTGACGCAAATCGGGTTTTAGAAATCGTATTTAGACTTCGTTCTTTTCTCCATTGAGATTCGGCTTGTCTAAGTCTGTATGTAGAGCTGCACAATAATGTTTGTATTTATCAGTCCAGGATGCGCGGCTATAGAGCTTGCCTTCTAGTCAGAAACGAGTGCAGTAAAATGTACGAATATATAATTAAACAGCAAATGATGATGTATGTTCATGGAGACTATGTAACATAATGTGCGTTTAACTATATTGTGCTTGTTTTTTTATTAACCAACCAAAGGACACTACGACCTGGCAGAAAAACAATAGCACATTGTTTCTGACGTTGTAGTTACTTCATTATTACTTCATTATGCCAGCCAAATTACGTGAACAGCTGTTTTTAAATTAAGCAGACAACAATGGCAACTGGTGATAAAAGCACTTGTATACCTAACGTGCAACTTTTAATCAAGTGCTCTTTTGGTTAAGCATTTGAATGTTTTCTGAATAAAGCAAAGTTTCCTTCCGATTAATCTTAAACCAGGATAAACCAGGATTTACACTTTTAAACAAAATGTCGAGTTCGCATTTGACTATTATAAAGGCATGCTTGAACTTATATTAGTGTATACAGTGCCCTTCGAAGTATGCCCCAGAGACGATGTGTATAAAGTCCAAATCGTTATGGTTCTTGCTGTCTGCGTGAACATAAAACGAAAATGCCCCCAAATCAGCGCTTTAATTCTCTAAAAAAGAAAACAGTCCTGTGAAGTCCTTCACAAAACAACCTGGGAAAACATACACAGCTAGCTTTGAGACCACCTCTCCCTTCCTGTCATCTAGGGCGCGATGAAGGCCACACCCCAGCTCTGTGGTGTCCGAGACGGTGAGGATGATGATGACGTAATGAGCCTGAAGAGCGTACAGAGTATGGGGAGCACTTTGGGGTTCACAGCCATGGTCAAGAGATACAGAGGCTTAACCAGAAGACAGGCTGCTAAACACAGGCTCCCCTCTGTTTCCGTGGAAGAAGACCTTCAAAGGTATGGCAACCTTGTCTTTCAGATTAATTTAAAAATCTGATATCTGATTTATGTGATATCAGAAGAGGTTGTAACGTGCATCTCAAATGTCCTCAAGCTTACATCCACTTTTTAAACATTTTATATTTTGAGTATGAAATGTCAAATAGTAGGTAAATAATTGTCTAATTAGAAATGCTTGCTTATGCTTTTGCAAAGGTCATATGTGCAAGCATACTGTAGACGTCACTCAGATTTGCCAGTTTTAATCATGTTCGAATTACATCATGGCTCGGAGAAAGAGAAAGAAACTGCATTCTGGGAATGTTGTTGGTAGTAAAATGTAATATGACCATCACTAGACAGCTCCTGTGCTGCTAACAGCCTCTTGACTATGATTGCCAGAGATCAATTTCCCACAGTATTACAATACAACAAACGGAACTTCAAATCTGAAGGGACCACCAGAAAGACTGCACACAGCAATCAGAGGAGACCCATAAACCTAATAAAAGATCACAGTTTGTTTCATTGTGCAGAATAGTACAATACATGTATCAAGGCACTAGATTTTCCAAGCATTTCAGTAACTGAGGGAAGGCACTGGGCAGCAGTGACCAAACCAAAAAAATTCTAAATTAAAAAGAAATCTTCAACCACATTTTGATTGGAACACCAACTTACTGTGTTGTGCTTTTGTATGTTTTTGCATCTTAAACCTGGAATGTTTCTTAATATCTTCAAGCTTTTATTGCTGTTTTTTTCAGGAGCTGCTTAGTGGTTACAGGTGCTAGCTGCCCAAGATACTGCACACTTCCACCCATTTCTAAAACCTCGCTAGCCCAGAGGCAAGGACAGGAGCATTCCCCCTCTAGAGGCGGCATCAGGTACTACAATATACTGTCTGCGTGCCTATCAAACTGTATCTCTCCATATTCGTTCAGATAACAGCCAATGAAGTTTTGTCAGCAATGATTAACTAGAATTTCCATCTCTAGATCCATTATCAATACGTTGCATGGACTGGTGAGAGTCATTGCAGCTCGAAGCCTGCCCTGAAAGCACAGGTTTCAAGGTGGGGGTCAGAGGATGATGGTACCAGAAAGTCTTCCTACCAGGACACTAGAATCTGATAGGCTAACATATAATTGTTATTAGACAGAAAGTCCAGCTCTATTGCAAAACCATGACCTTAAGGCCACAGACATCGTACTTCATGAGAAGATAAGAAAAGTTACAAACAGAAGGAGGCCATTGGGCTCATATGTCCTGTTTTGTACTTTGTAGTCAGTGGATAATGGGAACTTACCCTACCATTTCTCGAAAGAAACTGAGGCAGCATAGTTGAGTAGCTTATTCCTGACCCCTACAGCCCTTTTCGTGAAGGACTGCCTCCAGTTTTAAATGCGCTTCAGCATAGTTTTCATTCGTGTTGTATGGTGTGTGTTTCACTACTGATTAGGAAGGAGTCAATTGCCTTTAAGGATCTTGATTACTGGAGATAGACCACCCTGTAGCCTTCTTTGTTCCAGATTGAAAAGTTTTAATTCTGTTAGCCTGCTAGTTTAGGATACTCCTCTAAGCCTGGTATAAGTGTTGCACGTCTGTGGACAGATTCTAGAGCAGCAATATCTATTTAGTAATGTGGTAACTAAAATTGCACACAATATTGTGAATGAGGCCTTAATAGTAAATTGTACAATTTAACATAAAATTCCTTGACTTCAAATATATACTTTTAGGTATAAATCCTAATAGATATTACCCTTTCAATTTCATTCCCACATGAACTAGAAGATGTAACTGATGTGTCGACGTAAGTACTTTTTCATGATTAGCTTCTTTAAGATCTGTGTTTCCCATTCGTTAATTTGTGTTTAAAGCCTGCATATAATATTCTGCATTTGTCTTAAACAACACCTGCTATGTGTTTGCCCAATCTTGAAAACAGTCTTAAGCTTTTTGAATTTCCTTTAAAATTAGTACACTATTTGCTGATCCTCCTATTTTGATAGAATCTGCCAAAAGTAGTCAGTAGTTGACTGACTATACTAGGATCTATATTCCATTCATCCATTTTCTAACCACTTCCTCAAATTCAGGGTCTCAGGGACGCTGGAGCCTATCCTGGCAGGGCAGGGTATACATTGGACAGGATGCCACTCCATTGCAGAGCACACGCAGACACTGTCGCAGACATACACACACACTCGCAGCAGGGCCAGTTTTCCCAGTAGCTAATTTCAACTAGCTAGACCAGTATGTCTTTCAACTGTGGTAGGAAACCAGAACACCACAGAAAAGCCCATGCAAACAAAGGGAGAACAGACAACCTCCACACAGAGGAGTGAGAGGCCCAGTGTTGTGGTACTGCAATGCTAACCAATGTGCAACCATGCCACCCCAGGAACTATATTATTGATAGAAATTTCAAAGAGTAGTAATCATAGCACAGATCCCTGTATCCCTAATTACATCACCTCATTTAATGCATTCCTCCTTAATGTTATGGTGCAATTACTCCCATCAGTTACTTTTTTCTGAAAAACAAACAAACAAGACAGCATAGAGAGCATGTGACAATCCTCTATTTTTAAAAAAACCTCTGCAGGTCAGGCAAATACAATTTATTTTAAAACAAACCGTAATGTGCATTGTTCTTTTAGTGGTAGCATGAGTGAAATCATTTTTGTTTCACTTATGTCTTTTATTAAGTTAGTGATTTGCTCTTTTATGTCTTTAAAAATGGATAGTTTACTTAAATCCATTTGCTAAGCTTTTGAACCCTTTAAGGCAATTTTAAACATTATTCATAGAACTTCATGATGGCGGTTTTATTTTGTTTACTTAACACAACTATATGTTAGGAGGCTTGCACATTAAATTAAGAAAAAAGTAGTCAATATCTCCCTCCAATGTGTGCTGCCTAATTTTCTGCTTATTTATGATTCAAAGCCTTATCATTCTCACTCTGGAACAGCAGAATGCATTTTCAGTAGCTGTAATTTATCTAGTTTTATGTGAGTGCTTGAAAGGGGAGGGAATTATTATCTGTTGCTGGAAGCATGTGCAGGACAAATCTGGGAACGATAATACTTAAAGTGAGATGAATGCTAACAGTATTAATAATAAAGCTGGAAATGTATAGCAGGAAGGATGCCTGCTCTAGAAGGATAGAATAAACAGCTAAATGAAATATTGGGAACGATGTGAAAGTCAAGGTTAATTTGATGTCGGATGCATACCAGACGTGTAATCAAAGACTTTAATTGCATGAAATTAAAAATGTAATAGAAGCTTTTGACAGAAGGATATTGACACACACCTCTCAAATTTTAATGTCTGAATGAATTAAAAACAGATGTTGCAATTAAAAGGATTGATATTTATCTCTACTGGTTTTTCCATTGGGTGGCACTGGACAAGATTTGATTTACAAGATTGATGGAACAGTCTTCTTGGATGCTGGTGTGAAAAGCATAGTATATTTCGGGTTTCTGGGATTCACCTGAGTGGCTTTTATATCTGACAAGTCATAGTTTGCTACCCTGTTTTAAATGTTATACCAACTGTGTCAAAGAGTGCAGCAGAAATCCAGTGATTGCTATTAGACATCATCTATCTGATGTAATAGTACTTGCTCCTGAGTGGTTCACCCAGAAAAACTGCTTGCATGAGAGATGGTTGAGCTCTATGTTCCAGGCAGTGCGGGTCAAACCTGGATGATGTCACTAGCTGACTGTGACTGGGATTTGCCAAGAGGCAACATGTGATTAAATGACTGCCGCTGAGGGAAGGATGGGGATTGGTCAGCCAGGGCTTTTTCCTCTCCTGGCGACCTTTGGCGCTGTTTTTGAGGGACGTGCCCCTCTTCCTGTGCTGGGATGCATCACCTGTGACTCAGAGAGGGTGGGTCAAAGTGCATTTCCTTGATGCCTCCCCCCCATGTGAGACTATAGAGTTCGCATCCATGCATCAAAATGTGATGAATATACTGTACAAGTGGCAATTTCAAACTGGGTGGGTTTGGGTGGGATAAAATACCATAATGAACAAAAATGGTGCACCTTTTTATAGGTTATTTCTCTTTTTGTTTACTTTTGTAAATGTGTTCTAAGTATTTTGTCCAATTCTTTTTAACATTTTAAAGGCCTGATATAGAGCAAATCCATCCCCCTGAAGGGGCTGCGACTGAAAAGGTAGAGGACCAGCTACCTGTCAATCGAGACGAACAGTGTGGTGAGGGATCAGGCAGCAGGAATGGAAGAGGAGAAAGTCTGCACCCAGTTCCCCAGGCTAGGATCACCTTTCAAAGCCCGGTGGTACAAGGTGTCTTCCCTGACACTCCTGCTGGTAGTCGAGAGGAAGGAAAGGCCGATGAAGTGAAAATGCTTCGGCACACAAAATTCACCACGTCCACCATAACCTCTTCCAGCCTCAGCTCTCCCAGCAGCCGGGTCGCCAACAAATCTGGGGGAAGTTCAACAGGTAGGTACTGTGCAAAGCCGTCCAAAGAAAATAATCCTGCATATCCAGTTAACAGTGCAAAGCTGCAGCCCGGCCAGGGAAACAAGCTGTCAGATAGTGTTCTGGAGAAAAGTGAAATCCTGATGATAGAGCTGGGAATTACTTTTCCAAAAATAGAAAGCAATTTAAGATGCCGCAATCAGAAACACCCTATGAAGTCTGCGCTGAAGAAATCGTTTGACTGGAAGGCCTATTCTCGGAAGATAAGGTGCAGTGAAGCCAGGGAGCAGGATGGCGGCACAGCAGAGACCTTATCAGCGGACAATTTCCACAGAGACCGTGGCTCTCTACAGACTGCGGCCTCGTGTGCCCGTGGCTTAAAGAATACCTGCACTGCTTCCTGCAGAGAGCAAGAACTCGGACTGCTTTTCCAGAAAAGCTGTCCGTTACCACAGACGAATAACCTCCTGGAGCCATTCTCTGGATTTCGGCAGTACTTGCAGCGGCAGCTTCTCCGTTCGCCAGAGGTGTATGGAACTGGCCAGGCCCCAGCAGGGAGAGCGGACATGGCAGCTGGCCTGCCTGGCCCTGGTGGCGTACCCATCCAGAGCTATCGGAGCACCGCTGAGACACAGCTGCTTCAGCCATCACCCGCCCTAGACCTGCTGACTTCCCGGGGCCCTCTGTCCCAGTCACAGCGCACAGTGGAGCTCTCCAGTTCCCATGGAGGGATGCTGCCCAAAATCACGATGACCTGCCCCACGCCCTCTCCCAAACCCCCTTTACAAAGATAGTCTGGACCTCTCTTGTTCAACCATAGTGAAAAAGAATGGAATTGAATAACAATCTTTTGTTATTTCCACTATGGAATTCAATAACTCATGCAAAATCACTCCCTGAGGGGTTAAATGCACCAAAAAAAAACCAACAACAAAATCCAAGAACTGTGCCTGATCTCTCTGGCTGGCGGTGGCTTTGTCACTCAGGTCAGTGCAATGATATTTTTTGTCTGTCTCAGCTGCCATATTATTTTGGCTGTGTGTCGATTCAGACAGGCTTTGCTTTCTCTATTATAGCAAAGGTGAACTGGGGTAAATGCACAAACAAAGGATATACAAAATTTGTATCCCAGTGAATGTGAAAGGGATCAAAGAGTAATTATATATCACTGTGAGTTTACGCCTTCTGGATATGCAAAGATGTACTGCAGAAGCCGCACAGTAAGAAACAGTTCTTACAGTGTGTTTATGTAATGTTAACCTACCTCTCCCTTCACATTTGCTACAAAGGAAAGTGACTGCGTGACTTTATAGGAATTTACTGTGGTATACAAAAAATATTACATTACATGCAAATATGTAAAAAAGAGCCCAAATGTACAGTAAAGGAGCGTACAGACTAGAAAAAAAATTGAATGTATATATAATAGAAGCATGGAAAAATCACAGGAAAAATGATTATACTATTCAGAGTTACATTGAGATATTTATATAAGGGTTGTTATCAGAGTTCAGTGCCAGACTGAGTACCTCATCCACGAATCACACTAATAGGATTGATCCCTCAGGACAACAAAATGTGCAGTTTCAAAGGATAGGCGGGTCCTAGAGGTTACATTTGAATGAAAAGGTCAATTATGACCACCAAAAGAGCTTTTACAAATATCAGAAGGGTCTATTATATGTGCTGACTCATTTTAATCTGTCACACCTTCCCCCAGATGGAGGTCTGGTTTTGAAAACAGCTTTTCTAATAAGGGCAACACTAGTTTTGACTAGTCTAAGTTTTCCTTCAGAGGTTTTTTTAGAAGCGGTTCTGGTGATGAAGCAGAGAACTAAACCCATGCTCTTCTAAACTCAGAATATAGGGAGATAAAGAGTCTAGATTGACAGCACCTGTGAAATTTTGTTTTTCTATAGCACAGCCTTTCTCACTATGCGACTTCAATTCTGCGTTAATCTTTATCACTCCTGCTTCTGCTTCATAGCATAGCGCATGTAATAATATACAACGCTTCTTATGCTAAAAAACTATTGGAAAGTTAAGGAGCTTATTCTCTGAGTACACTGCTCTATATTGTTTCTTTACTGCATTAATGTAGAATGAAGGCAAAGTCACTTTTCTCATATAAAAGTGTGTTGGACAAAGCATTTCCCTCAACTTATTCCTTTGATATACTGACTGTTTGTAAGGGCAGTGAAAAAACTATGTTTCTGTTAAAGTAATGTGGATGTTACCTGCAGTTATGCATGTACTTATAAAAAGTAAAAAGTAGAAATGATGTATTCAGTAAGATAAAGAGGCTGTCTGAAAAAGGTAGATGATGAAGTAACACCTTTGTTTATTTTCACTTGACATATGCACCATTTTGGAGCATTAAAGTATATGGATTTTCCAATTTCCTATTTCATGATCTATTACTATCAATACTATTTATTAACATTTTAAAGGTAGAAACATTTTGCATTCCCTAAATATGAAAGTATGGAATAAATAATCGGCATTTGAAATAATTCAATAATTGGCTTAAGGCATTCAAAGAAATGCTGCAGATTAACATCCCAAATACTTATTTTATGTGCTATGTTTACTGATTGATTTCTGACAAAGGTTGTAGAAACCAGCTTCTTTTGTACAAGTAAAAATATATACTCAACAAGTAACTTAACCAGTGCTCACTATCCATAAACTGAACAGCAATAAACATAGGATTTGTGAATGCATGTTCACCTGAGGGGATTTGGTGTCTGACATTTCCCACAGTTGTGGCATAATGTCTTTCAAACCAGGCGTCAGCCAGACAGTGTGCTATCAGGTGTCAGCCTCACAGTGGACAAGAACAACCTTAGTTCTGGATGCTTACACATTGTCAGGCACTCATATACTGTATGCCTGTGTTTTTCGGAGGTTAGCTACAGCCTCATGACAAATCTAAAGCTCCTTGTATGGAGTCTTTGTTCAAGATGGTCATCCTGAAGATTTATGTTCCCAGTACGTACATCACCTTCTCTCAACTAACCGATCAAGTGGCAGTGTTGACTTTCAAATACACAGAGTGTTCAGTGTTCAGTGGGGACACTCACCTTTTCATGCGATGTCTCGCCATCTCCACATTAATGCACCTGAATAGGTTGTTAGACTTTCAGCAACATTCCAAACACACATAAAATGTACAGAATTTCTCCAGTTTATTGAAGACCTCAATGCTGGTGATTTCAAGCAAAGTTCAATAAAAGCAATTTATATCAAAAGTGCTGCTGTCATTTTTTATGTGAAAATTAATTGGAATTTAAGCCCCATGTTTATTTTATACCTTTTCTTATCAGTCAAGCGTAACATTCTTATTATTTTAATATATGTTTATATCTGAGTATGTGGTAACATCACTTTAATATTTTTTTCTGTTTATTGAACTTAATGGAAATGACATGGGCAATTTTTCCATTTCTTCAATTTAATGTATTGCTTCTATGTAGTACAACACATTTGTGAATGCTAGATTGATATATTAACATAGAAAAGAACAGTTCAATTTTGTTGAATGTGGCAAGGTTACTTATAAGTAGCTAATTCAACTACAGTGGTGTGAAAAAGTGTTTGCCCCCTTCCTGATTTCTTATTTTTCTGCATGTTAGTCACACTGAAATGTTTCAGATCATCAAACAAATTGAAATATTAGACAAAGATAACACAAGTAAACACAAAATGCAGTTTTTAAATGAAGGTTTTTATTATTAAGGGGAAAAAAATCCAAACCTACATGGCCCTGTGTGAAAACGTGATTGCCCCCTAAACCTAATAACTGGTTGGGCCACCGTTAGCAGCAACAACTGCAATCAAGCGTTTGCAATAACTGGCAATGAGTCTTTTACAGCGCTGTAGAGGAATTTTGGCCCACTCATCTTTGCAGAATTGTTGTAATACAGCCACATTGGAGGGTTTTCGAGCCTTAACTGCTTTTTTAAGGTCACGCCACAACATCTCAATCGGATTCAGGTCATGACTTTGACTAGGCCACTCCAAAGTCTTAATTTTGTTTTTCTTAAGCCATTCAGAGGTGGACTTGCTGGTGTGTTGGATCATTGTCCTGCTGCAGAACCCAAGTGCTTTTCAGCTTGAGGTCACGAACAGATGGCCGGACATTCTCCTTCAGGATTTTTTGGTAGACAGCAGAATTCATGGTTCTATTTACCATGGCAAGTCTTCCAGGTCCTGAAACAGCAAAACAGCCCCAGACCATCACACTACCACCACCATATTTTACTGTTGGTATGATGTTCCTTTTCTGAAATGCTGTGTTACTTTTACGCCAGATGTAATGGGACACACACCTTCCAAAAAGATCAACTATTGTCTCGTCAGTCCACAGAGTATTTTCCCAAAAGTCTTGGGGATCATCAAGATGTTTTCTGGCAAAACTGAGATGAGCCTTTATGTTCTTTTTGCTCAGCAGTGGTTTTCGTCTTGGAACTCCATTTTTGCCCAGTTTTGCCCAGTCTTTTTCTTATGGTTAAGTCATGAACACTGACCTTAACTGAGGCAAGTGAAGCCTGCAGTTCTTTGGATGTTGTTGTGGGTTTTTTCTGACCTCTTGGATGGGTCGTCGCTGCGCTCTTGGGGTAATTTTGGTCAGCCGGTGGTTCGCTGGAGTCCCAAAGCTTTAGAAATAACTTTATAACCTTTTCCAGACTGATAAATCTCAATTACTCTGTTTCTCATTTATTCCTGAATTTCTTTGGATCGCAGCATGATGTCTAGCTTTTGAGGATCTTTTGGTCTACTTCACTTTGTCAGGCAGGTCCTATTTAAGTGATTTCTTGATTGAGAACAGGTGTGGCAGTAATCAGGCCTGGGTGTGGCTAGAGAAATTGAACTCAGCTTTCCAAAGATGTGATAAACCACAGTTGATTTATGTTTTAACGGGGGGCAATCACTTTTTCACACAGGGCCATGTAGGTTTGGATTTTTTTTTCCCTTGATAATAAAAACCTTCATTTAAAAACTGCATTTTGTGTTTACTTGTGTTATCTTTGTCTAATATTTCAATTTGTTTGATGATCTGAAACATTTCAGTGTGACAAACATGCAAACAAATAAGAAATCAGGAAGGGGGCAAACAGTTTTTCACACCACTGTATATCTTGGTCTTTACATAATGGAAAAAGTATTCAAGAACTTACTATCCCAACATAAACATATTTCTTATTCCATCAGTTACACATATTTCTGTTCTAACACATATCATAAGTTTGGCAAGCACCTTAGATTATCTTCCGTATTCAACTGACATCTGGATATGAACACAGATACAGAATCATCTAGATGTATTCCTATCCCTGCCAAAACAGAAACAATAAACATCAAATAACAGATATATTTACAGATTGGAAATTGTTTCTTGTTTATTTTCAAAAAAATGTTAGACAGCAATCTTAACTTATCTTATCTTTGTACAGTGCAAAGTCATATTTGTCATATACTGTACATGTAAATGTATTTTAAATCCAGAAAACACAGAAGTCACATTTATTCCTTCCCCCGTAGGAATAATGTAAATCTTCCTCTGGCAGGGCTTACACAGAATAGACACCTCCTCTATTGTGCTCTACAAAACACCCAATATTCACTAGTGAAGTTGAGTTCAGGACAGTTTAGCTGTCTCAGAATTGGAAGGCAGAAAGTACTATTCAGATAAGGTCACCCGGGCAGCATAAGAAGACACAAATGACTTTTTATAGTGAAAACTCTCTGACGATCCTGTGCATTTCTAAATGGGTGTAAACTGTCAAAATTGCCTTTCTCTTTCAAAAACTGTGTTCCACAGATGTACTGTATGTGAGGGGTACTAATAGAAACATATTTGATAGATAGTGTTGCACACTTACAGATTTTTTTCCGTTACTAAAGAATAGCACGAGGTCGGAAACACAGTGATCTAAAATGATTGCCCAGTTATATTCAGCACTGATGGCCTGTTGTTTTTGTGCACTTAGTAAGAGTTTACAGACAGGATTTCTTTCAAGCACATAGTTTTTTTACTCTCTGAGAAGTTCATTAGTCATTACTGGCAGTCTGATACCCTGTACACTCTCAGAATTCCCCCCTCCTGTGTGGCAACATTTCAGACATTCCTTTTAGAATTACTGCCTGCTGAACTGTGGACATTGGACTGGCTTCAGCTACTACACAGGGGCGAATGTGGAGGGAATGAACTTATACTGGTCCAGGCATTTAAAATTCACCTGCATCTGCCTTTTTTCTAAAAGAAAATATAAATGAGAACTAATTAAGGTGCACTACTATGTCTCAGCTATATCCAACTATATTAATCTATCACCTTAGGTAGGTCCTTTTTCAGGCCATAAAGGCCCCTGGGGGAATGGGGGGCAAGGGCCACCATTTTTCTTGGCCTCCGACACTGGAAGTGGAGGTGATATAGCTATAACCTTACAGGTGATACAAATATTTGTCAGGAACTGTACCCCATTCTCATAAGTGAGATTAGTTTCAGTTATGGGAACTTAACCTAGCTGAGCTATTAGAAAGGGTGTTTTATCACTTAGCAAAAATATTTTCACTTTATTAGGTACCCAAGCAAGTATTTTGGTCTTAAAGTATGGAAAAGTGATGTGTATAATCGCTGAGAAAAAGTTTCGATTCTTTAGGTTGCATTCAGGGTTTTTAAAAGGGACATAAATAACTGGAAATCACTTTAGCACATTTTTGTATGGCCCGATAACCCCTTTTTTGGGTCAAAAATAAAAAAAATCTATCCCCTGCTGCTTGGTTTTATAGAAATCTGGCCGAGAGCTTTTTAAATAAAAACTTGTAATAAAGTATTATGGCCACAAGATGGAGTATTTAGCCACATTAAAGCAAAACGTAATGTGCCAATCGCTTTATTTGTATTTGTACAGCCTTCAGAATCAGATGTACGCTCTTTCACGAAATAAAACATTTCACTTACAAATTGTTAAATGTGTTAGTTGGTCTCCGAGTTTGTTGATCTGTCAACCAGAAACTTAATAATGCTTAAATACATTTCAAGCTTGACTTGTTTGCTCCGGACCAGAGAGCCGAAATTCCAGTTCACACCGCAATTGTAGGGCCGTTTTACTTTGGGGGAGATATTTAGATTCCATAGTTAAGTCCTGCACCTAACCAGGCAACTCACACAATTCAAGCACTTCTCCACGTGAAGGTACTTTTACTTCAAATATATGCACAATGGCAAGTTAGTGTTTTTAAAGGTATTGCAGTATATATATATATTTCTCAGGTTCATTAACTGTCTCCCGTGATGTTGCTCTGAACAAAACTAATAAACCCCAAAGCAAATGTGATCTTTTGCGTTTTCGAGATGCTGCTGCCGTTAAAATATGGAGCAATCACAAAAAT